AGGAGAAGCGGCAGAAGAGACTGAGGAAGGAAGCAGGATGGAGCCAGAAGGAGACCTGGAGGAGGCGCATGGAGCCTAGAGACACGTGAAGAAACTGCGCTTGTCTTTTGGTCGTGGACTGGGTGACACAGATGTGGGTGAGACCCGTGGGGAGGTGACCATGGCAGCTTTTATCTGGATGTTGATTTTGCTCTTTTCCTTCCGGGCTTGTCCGGTTGTTTGTGACCCTTTTCTGTGGGTCCCCACTGGAAGAAGCTCTAGACTTGTGGCAGGCTTTGGGGCCTTGCTCTGGGCCGATCCCATATGGATGGACTTTTACCCACGAGGGGATGGGTAACTCTGGATGCTTCATTTAGAAACTAGACTCTTTGCCTTTCCTGTCTTGTTTCCTAGTTTTATTAAAGTTCCTTCCCATTAAAGTCTCATATGTTTTGTGTTGATGCGGCGGATGGCAGAACCCATTTAGAATAGGCAGGTTTGGGCCTCCCGGATGGCGCAGCGGTTGAGCGCTGGGTTGCGAAGCTGCCCGCGGCCTCTGCGGCGCCGGTTCGATCCCCGGCTGCTCCCCGGCCACTGGAGGAGGGTCCCACATGGCGCGCAGACCTCTCCTGCCGCCCGCTGCTCCCCTCAGCAGTGTCCTTCGGTCCTTCTGCCTGCTCTGCTCCCCGCTCTGGCTCTGGTGAATTCTCTCACCCTCCCGCGCTTCTGACTGTACCCCGTGCTTGTATAAATAAATAAATAAATCTTTAAAAAAAAAAAAAGAATAGGCAGGTTTGCGGGGTTTGGGCTGCCCCTCTCCCTGTCCTATAACACTGGGTCCCCAAGGCTACAACGTCCTCCTCTAGCTCCCCTTCATCAGCAGGGGACAAAAGACTGGCTTGACACTCAGGCTGCAGAGTCTGCCCAGCTACCTCAGACTTCAGCTCCACGCAGCTGGCCTTGCTCTCCAATCTGCCAAAGCAGTCATTTTCCAGAATGTTCCCAGTACAGGGCGTTCCTAGAGCCAGAGCCAGCTCTACGGAAACCTTGACTTTAACCCGAGGATTCCATTGCCGGACCCCTGCCTCCATCGCTGTGGGATAAGACAAGTGTGTTGTTTTAAGCCACCGAGTTTGGCGTCTACAGGAGCCAAGCCTGGCGTCCACAGGGGCAGCAGACGTAGTGGGGTGGGGTGTGGGAGGAGGTCAGGAGGACCCCTGGTCCTGGGCCTGAAGGCAGAGGAGGGGTGGCCTTCCTGCCAGGGAGGACTGGGGTGGGGCTGCCACCTTGTGCCCCGCCCCCTCCCCCCACTGGCAGCGTAGTGCTCAGGCAGAGCCCCCCTCTTCCTGTGGGGGTGTGAGGGCAGCTGCTTCCTGCTGGGGCGCAGGGAAGCAGAGCTTGGCAAGAGCGCCCCGTGCAGGCCTCCCCGCTCCCGTTGGGTGGAGCCTGCTTTCCTTCAGCTGTTTCCAAAGTTCACTTGGCCTTCAGGGGGCCAGGACAGACTAGGAGGGAGACTGGGAGGGAGATTAGGATGCCCCTTTCACAGCAGAGACCCAGGTTCAAGCACCTTGAGGACCAGGGTGCATGCGGGTCCCCCACCGTGCAAAAGTGGAGAGTTCCTTGAATCTTCCCTACGTGGAAAGGGTGCAAAGTGAAGACACAATTGCCATTCATTTTATATGGGAAAAATGCCTAGTGTTCCCAAAAGAAAAAAAAAATGACCTTCCAAATCCTACCCCATAACACAGAAACCCTAATACGCTAAGGAGTGACAGGACAGGACACGATAATGTGCCGCCTGCATAGAGCGGCCTCCAGGGACGGGCCATCCACCTCTGGAACAGCTGCCACTACACCAGGGCTGAACCCCATTTTCACTCTTTGCCTTAAAGGCAAATTCCTCTCACCTGGCAGAGACCGTGTAGGTGTGTGGCAAAAATGAAGTGACTGGGCCTCTGTGGTGGTGCAGGGGTTAGTCTCAGGCTATCAAGCTATTGCTGCGGCCACTGTGACCTGAGTTCGGTCCCCAGCCAGGGAGCTGACCCACAGGGCGACGCAGACTTCTCCTGTCTCTCCGCTGCTCCAACTGTTAGGGGGAAAGATGCCCTAAAGCTGATCCCATACGGGCTTTGTGGACTCCACCCCCACCCCAGGCCAAAGCCAAAGACACTGGGGACTCCACATCCCATCCCCACCCAAGGGAAGGTGGCTGGGACTGGAGGGTGGGGTTCAGCAGCCAGGTGGGTATAAAGGCAGACACGTGGGCTTTGGGGGGGGTCCCCCATGTTGGCTCCCCGCCAGCTCGCAGGTCGGCCAGCTCGGAGAGCGCCTTTGGGTTTCCAGGTCGGCGGATCGGGTAGGACGCATTAGACTTTATTTCCCTATTTTCTCCCTGAGTTGTGCATTTTCCTCATTTCCTTTTCCCTTGTCAGTAAACCTTTCATGAACCTGCCGTGGAGTGTTCCTAAGTCCCTCGTAAGCCGCGGTGAGGACCCCCAGCCAGGAGGGCGGCCCTGTGACAGCCTCAGCGGTGGGTTTCAGTCCATACACCGGCTCTGCTCCCCACCCTGTCTCCGGGGAGTCCTCTCTCCCGCCCCTCGGGCCCGCACCCCGGCTCTTGTGGCATGAATAAATGAAAAGAAACCTTATTCAAAAAGCAAAGCGGCTGAGGCGGCCTCGGCCAGGTGGGGCCGGGCGGAGGGAGGAGACTCGCCCGCGGGCGCCCCCCGCCTCGGCCGGCGCGGCCTTGCGAGCGGCCGGGAGGCGCCCCGGGGCCGCGCCCCCTCCGGCGGGGAGAGGCCCGCGCGCTGGGGTTCGCGGGCTCGGCGGGCCCGGGCGGGCGACGCCAGGCGCCGGCGGGGACACGCCGTCCCGGGAACTTTCTGGAGCCGACGCCCGCGCCCCGCGAGCTGCTCCCGGCGGGCGGCCGGCGGCGGAGGCGCTGCTCGAGGCCGGCCCCGCCCGGGCCCTGCGCGCGCGGGCGGGCGGCTCCCTCCGGCGGGCCTCGGCCCGGCCCCCTCCCGCCGGGCGCCCGCCGCCCCCCGCCCCGCTGGGCCCGCGGCTGGGGTCGCCGCGCCCCGGGGCCGCCCCGCTCCCCGGCGCCCGGGCGGGGCGGGTGTCGCCAGGGCCGGCGCGCGGGTCGCGCTCTCCGCGGGGTCGGGGAGCGGCGGCGGGGCCTGGCTCCGGGGGCGGGGCCTGGCTCCGGGGGCGGGGCCTGGCTCCAGGAGGGGCGGGGTCTGGCTCCAGGAGGGGCGGGGTCTGGCTCCAGGAGGGGCGGGGCCGCCGCTGGGCTTCCGGAGCTCGCCCTCCCGGTGGGCGGGCCTGCGGGGCGGGGGCGGGGCCCGGGGCGGGGCCTCGGGGGCGGGGCCCGGCCGCGAGTTCCGGGAAGGGCCCCGCGCCCCGCTCGCGCGGAAGTGGCCGGGCCCGGGCGGCCTCGGGGCCGGCGCGCCGCCATGTCGGCTGAGGGCGCGGCGACGGGCGGGGGCCGGGGGCCCCGCGCGCGGCTGCCGCGCTCTGCGGCCTGTACCACGAGGCGGGGCAGAGGCTGCGGCACCTGCAGGACCAGCTGGACGCCCGCGACGCCCTCATCGCGCGGCTCCGCGCGCGCCTGGCCACGCTCGAGGGGGACGCGGCGCCGTCGCTCGTGGACGCCCTCCTGGGGCAGGTGGCGCGCTTCCGCGAGCAGCTCCGGCGGCGGGAAAGCGGCGCCGCCGAGGCCGAGCTGCGCCAGGTGCGGGGCGCGCGGTCGCGGGGCTGTGAGGCGCGTCGGGGTGAGGGGAGTCTCTGGGGCGGGGGGCGTATTGGGGTGAGGGGATTGTCAGGGGTGAGGGAAGTTGGGAGTGAGGGGAGTGTTGGGGTGAGGGGAGTGTCTGGGGTCGGGGAGTGTCGGGGTGAGGGGAGTGTCCGGGTGAGGGGAGTCTCTGGGGTCTCTGAGGTAAGGGGAGTCTCTGGGGTGACGGGGGTGTCAGGGAGAGGAGTCTCTGGGGTGAGGAGTCTCTAGGTGAGGGGAGTGTCTGTGTGAGGGTAGTGTCTAGGGTGAGGGGAGTGTTGGGGTGAGGGGAGTGTTGGGGTGAGGAGAGTGTCTGGGGTGAGGGGAGTGTTGAGGTGAGGGGAGTGTTGGGGTGAGGGGAGTGTTGGGGTGAGGAGAGTGTCTGGGGTGAGGGGAGTGTTGAGGTGAGGGGAGTGTTGGGTGAGGAGAGTGTTGGGGTGTGGGGAGTGTTGGGGTGAGGAGAGTGTTGGGTGAGGAGAGTGTTGGGGTGAGGGGAGTGTTGGGGTGAGGGGAGTGTTGGGGTGAGGGGGGTGTCTAGGGTGAGGGGAGTGTTGGGTGAGGGGAGTGTTGGTGAGGGGAGTGTTGGGGTGAGGGTAGTGTCTGGTGTGAGGGGAGTGTTGGGGTGAGGGGAGTGTTGGGGTGAGGGGAGTGTTGGGGTGAGGGGAGTGTCGGGGTGAGGGGAGTGTCTGGGGTGAGGGGAGTTCCTGGGGTGAGGGGAGTGTCTGGGGTGAGGGGAGTGTCTGGGGTGAGGGGAGGAGAGTGTTGGGGTGAGGGGAGTGTCGGGGTGAGGGGAGTGTCGGGTGAGGGGAGTGTTGGGGTGAGGGGAGTGTCTGGGGTGAGGGGAGTGTCCCCTGAGGGGAGTTGGGGTGAGGGGAGTGTTGGGGTGAGGGGAGTGTTGGGGTGAGGGGAGTGTCGGGGTGAGGGGAGTGTCGGGGTGAGGGGAGTGTCGGGGTGAGGGGAGTGTCTGGGGTGAGGAGAGTGTCTGGGGTGAGGGGAGTGTCGGGTGAGGGGAGGGTTGGGGTGAGGGGAGGGTTGGGGTGTGTCCCCTCGGGGAGGCTGGTCCCTGTTCCTTGGCGGCACTGGTAATTTTCTAGGGGCCTCTGGTCAGGAGGGTTCTCATTCTTCACCGGGCAGGAAATGCCCAGGGGCGCGAGTGGGGGGGGGGTGCTGCCCGCTCCCGCGTCCTTCCTAGAGGTTGAAGGTCTTCTGGGTTTTCCTGAGTCTGCAGCGTTTGGTCCCCAGGGTGCCCGTTTCACCGGGTATCCAGGGCTGGCAGGACAGCTGTTGGCGGTGGATTCCTTCTAGTTCTGCAGAACTGGGGGTGGTGTCCCCACTTTCATTTCTGACTTTTGTGATTAGTCTTTTTTTCTGCCTGGGTAAAGGGTTGTCAGCTTTGTTCACGGTTTTAAGACCCAGTGTTTGGTTTCCCGGATTTTCTCTACTTGAGTTATCTTTGTTCTAATCTTTGTTCCATTTCTTCTCTTGGTGTGGGTTGAGCTGTTTTCCCGAAATCTTGGAGCCGTGCAGTGGGCTTGTTGGGGCGCCTTCTCGGTGAGCACCAGGTCACTGGTCTCTGCAGGGGGTCGGGTTTGCGCTGGTCCTAAACTACATGGTTGCCCCTTCCGCGGGCTTGAGCGCGCGCCTCACTGTCACAAAGGGGAACGTTCCAGTTTTCCTCCCGCGTGGCCGCCGGGAAGATGGCTGCCCCGGCTGCGGTGTTTCCCGGTGCGGCCCGCGGGGCCCGTCCCCCTGTCCTGGCCGTCGGGCAGCTGCCTTCCTTGGTTGTGGCATGGGGGTTCCCTCACTGTGGGGAGGGGTGTTGAAGTCGCCCACTCTCACTGCCTTTCTCCATGTCATTCTTTCTTTCCTGCCGGTCTAGTCACAGGCGCACGGGTGTCCGTAGTTAGAGATCTTGCTCCAGGAAACCCTTCATGAACCCAGAGCACTTTTTTTTTTTTAAAGAGGCACGTATTTTTATTTATTTGTTTGTTTGTTTGTTTGTTTGTTTCATTTATACAAGCACGGGGTACAGTCAGAAGCGCGGGAGGGTGAGAGGATTCACCAGAGCCAGAGCGGGGAGCAGAGCAGGCAGAAGGACCGAAGGACACTGCTGAGGGGAGCAGCGGGCGGCAGGAGAGGTCTGCGGTGGCCGGGGAGCAGCCGGGGATCGAACCAGCGCCCCAGAGGCTGCGGGCAGCTTCGCAACCCAGCGCTCACCCGCTGCGCCACCGGGGAGGCCCACCAGAGCACCTTTTTTGCCCCATAACTTTTTTCACGTTCAAGTCTATTTGTCTGGCGCTGGATGGCTGGGGCGCTCTTCGGGGAGTGCGCGCCCACCTTCCGCCGCCCGCCCACCCCAGCCCGCCCACCCCAGCCGTGCCCGCAGAATGCGTGTCTCTTGGAGACCATGTGGGGGGTCATTTCTTTTTACCCTCCTGCCGTTCTGTCTTTTTGTTGAACAGCTTCATCTAGTTATCTTTAAAGCAATTGCTAGTGAGGACAAACTACTTTTGTTGTTTATTTAAAAAAAATTTTTTTAAAAGATTTATCCATTTTTATACAAGAACTGGGGCGCAGGCCAGAGGCGCGGGAGGGTGAGAGGATTCCCCAGAGACAGAGCGGGGGGCAGAAAGGGCAGGACCACTGAAATCACGGGCCATGAAGCACGGGCTTAAAACAACAGAGATTTCACCTTCCACAGCGGAGACCAGACGCCTGCGCCCTGGTGTGGCCAGAGCTGGGCTCCGGGGCTCCGGGCCGGTCCCGCCTGCCTCCTCAGGCTCCAGGTGGCAGAAGCCCTCGGCGTTCTCCGGCCTGCAGGTGCTTCTCTGCAGCTGCCGCCCGTCTCCCCCGCGGCCGTCCCTGCGGCGCCTGTGGGCACGGTCCATCCTAAGCCAGAACGACGTCCTCGCAGCTGGCCACATCCGCAGAGACCCTCCTTCTAAATAAACGTCCCCTTTCCAAGTACCAGGGGCCAGGACGGGCACATACCTTTTGGGGGCTACCCACTCCAGTGGGGCTTCTCCCCTTCCTATCAAGAAATGTTTGGAATCGCCACACTCAGTAGTTTGATGATGTAAAGTCTAAAACGATGAACTCACTCGTGAGAACAGGGGTGGCTGAAGGTCCGCAGACCATCACAGGCTGCACGCTGAGTTAACGAGCGTTTCAAGGCAGACCTCCAGCGCGCGTCTGCTGCCCGGGGTCACCTCTTTTAATCACGCTGGTCTTGTAAATCCCCCCACTTAGGAAATCGAGAGACTCACGGAGCAGCTGCAAGAGAAAGAGAAGGAGACCCAGCAACTCATGAGCCAGCCGCAGCTCGAGCCGGAGAAGGAGGTGCTCTTGCTCCGGAGGACCGTGGCCGAGAAGGAGCGGGCGTGCGCGGCCAGCGCCGTCCTGTGCCGCTCCCTGGCTGACGAGACCCACCAACTGCGGAGGACTCTGGCCGCCACCGCCCACATGTGCCAACATCTGGCCAGATGTCTGGATGATCGGCAGCGTGCGCACGTGCATGCGGGGGACAAAAGCCCTGAGGTAGGCCCTGGGTGCCAACCGGAGAGCAGGCCTCAGGGTGGTGCCTGCAGCCTGGGGAGGTGGTTAGCTGGTGCCCCAGCCAGCAGGGCCTATAGCCACCTGGGCTCGTGGGGAGACCGCACAGGGGCCGCCCTGGGCAAGTGCTGCACTGGTGCTGTTGGTGAGAAGGAAACTGAGGCAGAGGTGAGGTGAGTGTGCTGGAGCTAGGCCCCAGGCCAGCAGAAGGACCGGCCTTCTGTGGGCTCTGTGTGTCTGAGCCAAGAGGGGCGGCCCAGCCGAGGCTGGCTCTGGAAGAGGCCGCCTGTGGGTCTTCCTCCCCCAGGCCTGCATCTTCTCTGCCTGAGTCTGGTGGGTTCAGAGAACAAGGAAGCTCAGAAAGGACACGGCAGGTCTCAGAAACCAAAAGGAAAGTGGCCCCGGGTGGAGGCGGCGGCGCTCTCGTCTGATTTTGAGTCACTGTCATTTTCCTCCGGGGTTTTGGAAGTAGCCACACATTCTGGTCAGCCTGAGGCCAACATGGGGCTCGGCGTCGTCTCTACACCAGCGCCACTTCTCTGCCTCGCCTGGCTGAGTCACCAGGGGCTTCCCGGTGCGGCGGGGCTGGGACACGCATTTCCTCTGGCATAGGGGAACTCTCAGCAGTGGCATCTGGGCGCCCAGGCCCCGGGCTGCTCCATGCGGAGTTCCGGGCTCGGACGCATGACTCCAGACCCTCTCAGCTGGGCGTGCCCACCGCTGGGAGGGGAGCAGCTTGTGCGTGGGCATGCCTGTGCCGCGGGCCCGGGACAGAGGAACTCTGTTCGCGCCAGGCCCTGGTGGCTGTGGGACCCAGCCAGGGCACTCTAAGGTGCCCATGGGTGGCGTTTCCCGTTCCTGCGATGCCTGCGGCTGGGAAGCTCGGGCACAGGAACTGTGGAGGGCGGCGCCCGGGAGGTGGCACCAGCACCCAGTCCTTTCCCGGGTCTCCGCTCCTCTTCTCTGCCAGATGAACACGCGGCTGAGCGCTGCGCCCTCGGTCTCCAAGGCTGACTTGCTTCTCCCTGCACGTGACAGCCACGGTTGGTGACACTGTGTCCTCTGTTGGTCCCTGCCTTCTGCAGCTGGAGCATGCGGGTGAGGATGCTTCTGTCCAGACTGTTATTGAGAAGCTGCGGGAAGAAAATCGACTGTTGAAGCAGAAGGTCGCCCACGTGGGTATCTTTACTTTTTCATCCGGGAACCTTTCCTCTAGGGGAGGGCCCTTCCCCCACTATACCCAAGGGCTGCTCCTGTCCTCAGGCCACTTTGGCTGATGGGTAGGTCCCCTGAAACCAGACTTTATTGCCTCAAAGGACACAGGACGCGTCCTGTCTCTCCAAGTTAGTTCATCTGAAGGAGATACAAGAGTTTTCATCAAGTAGTTTTTTTTCTGAAAGATTTATTTATGCATCCAAGAACTGGGGTACAGGCCAAAGGTATGTGTGTGGGGGGTAAGAGGATTTCCCAGGGACAGAGTGGGGAGCAGAACAGGTGGATCCACTGAGGTGCACTGCTGAGGGGAGCTGTGGGGAGACATGAAAGGTCTGCTGTGCTCTGGGCGTCAGCTCCCTGGCCAGGGGTTGCGCTCAGGCTGCAGTGGCTGAGTCTTTAACTGCTGTGCCCCCAGGGAGGCCCCTCAAGTACAGTTTCTAAGGCTCCAAGTCCACTTCTGTCCGAGACAGCTGCTGTGACATCAGCATGGCAGCCTTGGCTGATGGCCTCAGGTTCCCTCAGCTGCCATCAGGGGGGCTCACCCAGCTGCTTATGGCTGCTGAACAGCCTCACCTTCAGCACAGCCCGAGAGCAGGTCTCAGCCGCGCCGCCCCCCCACCCCCCCTTGCCCAGGTGGAAGACCTCAATGCCAAGTGGCAGCGCTATGACGACAGCAGGGACGAGTATGTGCGGGGGCTACACGCGCAGCTGAAGGGGCTGCAGGCCTCCCGTGAGCCGGAAACACCCTCCCCGCCCGAGCTGATGAGGAAGGAGATCTGCCGGCTCAACAGACAGCTGGAGGAGAAGATGAGCGGCTGGACAGAAGTGAAGCTGGAGCTGGCGGCTGTGCGGCGGGCTCGGGACACCGCCCTGGAGCGGGTGCAGATGCTGGAGCAGCAGGTACGCTGGGCCCACCGGCCAAGGGCTTGGGGCACAGAGTGGCGGGGCCGTGGGGTGGGTGGAAGTTGGGCAGAACTTTCGTCCTTGAGCCGAAACAGTGTTGTGACAGCGAGTTTCGTCCCTCAGATTCTCGCTTACAAGGATGACTTTGCGTCCGAAAGGGCAGATCGGGAGCGGGCTCAGAGCAGGATTCACGAACTTGAGGAGAAGGTGGCCTCCCTGCAGCACCAGGCAGCCTGGAGACAGGTAGAGCAGCCCCCCGGTCCCCCTGTGTCTGCCAGGGCAGTGTGCTGTCCCCACGGGCGGCAGTGCATGCGGTCCAGCACGTCCTGCCAGGAGTGTGCTGAGCTCAAGGGGAGGCACGGGGTGGGCCAGATGGTTGCATGGGGTGTGTCTTCGGGGCCACCTGTTTGGGCAGGTGCCCTAGGACGGATGGGTCCATCTGGACCTTCCATCAGGAGTGTGGGAGGGCCCCCTCGACCTGTTCCTTCATGAGCAACCCCTTCAGCTGCCACCAGACACCCTCTCACTCGGGCTCTGGGCTGCAGGGAAGCAAGGGGAGGGCAAAGTCCACTCAAACAGAAGGAATAGCTACTTGCTGGACCCTGGGGCCGGCTTTGTGGCCGCCAGCACATGTGCCAACAGGCCCTTCCTGCCTTTCTTCCAGGACTCCCGAGAGCCGGCCTCCCGCCGGATTCACACTGGGAGCAGAGCCCCCAAGTACTTAGAGACAGACGCATTGGAGCTCGCTGTGCCCAGTGGCTGCAGGCCCGGGACTGGATCTCCGTGGTTGGAGTCTCCTGCGGAGGGCGGCCGCCCAAGTGCACCCCGGAGAGGCCAGGGGGACCTCCAGTGCCCACACTGTTTGCAGTGCTTTGGTGACGAGCAAGGCGAGGAGCTCTTCAGGCACGTGGCTGAGTGCTGCCAGTGAGCCCTGCGGCTTTGCAGGGGCCTGGCACCCCTGGGCAGCTGTCCTGTTGCTCTCAACAAGCCACACTGAGACCACTGGGGTCCTGGGCCCCAGAACAAGCCGACTCTGGTTCCCCACAGGGGTGGTACGGACCGTGTCAGAGGGGTCTTCCACTGGGGCTGGAAGCCGAGGCGAGTGGGGAGTAGAAGGTCCGCAGGCAGAGGGCCCGGTCTCCTTCTGTGTGGGGTCGGGGCCGTCTGGCTGAGACCGGGGGCCATCTGGTGGGGCTTCCTCGGGTCAGTGGGACCGCCCCGCCCCAGCATGCACCTGGGACAGTGCAGCGTGCTAGGAAGGGGGGCTGCCCGTGGGGCCAGGCACGGAGGCAGCCCTTAGGGTGGAAGCCCCGCCTTGTCCTGTCGCATGAGGGGCACGGTGGCAGCATGTCACCCTGCCCATGGGGGAGCCAAGTGTCAGCTCCAAAGTACAAACATGCTGCTTGACCGCAGCCTTCGTCGCGTGTCCAGATGCTGACAGCACAGTTATGTTTGTAACAGATGCCCGCGCTCCCGTGACCACTCGGGACGAACACTGGGGGCTCGGCACAGGGATCCAGCTGTATTTTCACTTGGGCAGGAGTTAGGCCAAGCGAGGGCAAACACTCCCACTCAGGGCGCTGAGAAGAGGAGGTCCTGTCAGATAGCATGAGGGGTGCCAGCCCAGTGTGCTGCCTTGGCCTGGTTCAGCCCGGGTTGGCCGTGAACTAAAGGGCTGGGAACACGGCGGGAGGAAGCCGGTGCCTGCTGAGAGCAAGGCCTGGGAGTGCGCACAGCGAGTGGGGCAGCGGTCGCTCGTCAGGAGACCAGTGCTGGGCCTGCCGGCCAGGCTGACTTTAGCCATCACAGTCCTGGGAGTTCGGTGTTACGTCCCCCTCGACACAGGTCAGGAGAGGACGCAGAGGAGTTTGGTTGCTTGAGCAGCTTAGTGACAAGACTGGGACTTGGCCCCGGGCCATGAGGCTCCTGCAGCCCGCCAGCATAAAGGGCTGCACTGGGCCGCGACCCCTCTCACCTGGGGCGCCCTCTTGTCTTTTCCATTTTGTGGGATCCCACTCAAGTTGTAGTTGAAGTGTCACCTTCTCCCATGCGCCCCTTTCCAAGGTCTCGTGGGCCTCCCTGGTGGTGCAACCTGTTGGGACACAGCCTATGAGGCTGTCCGCAGCCTCTGCAGCATGCGTTCCTTCCCTGGCCAGGGAGCTACCCACAGGGCGCGGCAGACCCCTCCCGTCTCCCCGCTGCTCCCCTCAGCAGTGTTTCAGTCAGTCTGCCTGTTCTGCTCCCCACTCTGTCTCACCCCCCACACCTCTGGCCTGTACCCCAGCTCTTATATGCATAAATAAATAAATCTTTAAAAAATAAACAAGTAAAACAAGGTCTTGAGAGTTAAACAGGCGAACACACGGCCACAAGAACTGTCCAGGCGGGGGAAAGGGATGTTCGATGAATTTACCGTTACAAGATTTTTGCAATGATTTAAGAGACTATAATGCATGAAACTTAACCTCTAGGGTACCTACTAAAATACAATGAAAATATTTCATTGAAAAGTTAATGTAGGGCCTCCCTCGTGGCGCCAGGGGTGAAGACGCAACCCATGAAGCTGTCCGCAGCCTCTGCAGTGCGAGTTCCATCCCGGCCAGCCGGGGCGCTACCCACAGGGCACAGCTGACCTCTCCTGCCTCCCCGCTGCTCCCCTCAGCAGTGGACTTCAGTGGATCCACTTGTTCTGTTCCCCCGTTGTCCCTGTCTCTCACCCCCCGGCCCTGCACCTCTGGCCTGCACCCCAGCTCTTGCATGCATTAATACATCAACCTCAAAGTACAGCACAATGAGAACGAGGCAAATGTACACTCTCAGCTGCCTCTCACAACTGGCAGAAGCAGGGAAGAAGTAATGATTGGGAAGATTTAACCAAAATTGCCAGCAAGAAAATTTAAAATTCAGTGATCCAAGTGCCCATCTCAAGACCCTAGGAAAGTAACTGCAAGTTAAACCCAAAGAGAACGGAAGGAAATAGAAGCCGGAATCAGATAATGAAGAGCAACGTCAAGAGTTCTTCCAAACAGCAGTGAAAACGGCAGACGGACGGGGAGGCCCTTGGAAAACGCCACTTACCACAATGACGAGAGAGAGAGAAGCTGCGAATAGCTCCAGGTCCATTAAATAACTTAAAACTAATGTAAAATCTCTTCACAAATGTGTTGGCCCAGAAGACGTCACTTGTGACTTCTCCGGAACATCTGAGAGGCACCGGTCTGACGCACGGGAACTAAGGCCGTCTCCTGGCTCGTCATCCGAAACCTGAGAAAGTGAAGAAAGGTGACCTCCGTGTTTCTCCTGAACAGGAGAGTGAAGAAGGAACCGCACCCGGCACCCGGCACCATGAAGAGACTACGCTAGGGCCTCCCGATGGTGCAGGGGTTAAAGCCACCGGCTTTAACTGCAGCACAAATAAACATTTATTTATTTACAGATTTACTTTATACAGGAACCGGGGTACAGGCCAGTGGTGCGGGGGGTGAGAAGACCCACCAGAGACAGAGTGGGGAGCAGGAGAGGCAGACTGACTGAAACTGCTGAGGGGAGCAGCGGGGAGACAGGAGAGGTCTGCCGTGCCATGTGGGAATCTCCCTGGGTGGCCGGGAATCGAACCTACAATGCAGAGGCTGCGGACAGCTCCACAGCCCTGCGCTCAACCCACTGCACCACCTGGGAGGCCCATTTTTTTTTTTTAAAGATTTATTTAGGGCCTCCCCTGGCGGTGCAGCGGTTGAGCGCTGTGCTGCAAAGCTGTCCACAGCCTCCACGGCACTGGTTCAATTCCTGGCCGGCCGGGGAGATTCCCACATGGCGCGCAGAGCTCTCCTGTCTCCCCGCTGCTCCCCTCAGCAGTGCATTTCGTCCGTCTGCCTGTTCTGCTCCCCGCTCTGTCTCTGGTGGATCCTCTCGCCCTCCTGCGCCTCTGGCCTGTACCCCGGCTCTTGTATAAATAAACTCTTAAAAATAATTAAATAAAAATATAATACCTCATAACCAAGGCAAAATCTGCATAGGGATACACGACTGTGTGGTATTTTAGAAAAACAAGACCCTAAAGGCTCGCCGTAATAACCGATCATCTCAACGGAAGCAGGAAAAGCACAGGACAAAATCCAATGCCCCGGCATGGCTCAAAACAAAAGCCAAAGCACCAGCAGACTAGGGAGAGGCCGGGTTCTCTCGCCTGCTCAAGGTGCACGCGAAAAATACAACCCCACCTCCCACGGCTGATGCTGTACTGGATGTCGCGTGAAGCGCCACCCCCGACGGTCACATCAAGGCACGATGGCCACGTCCCACCGAGTCCGGCCTGTCCAGAGGCCCTCCCGGTGCAGGAGCAACCAAGGGCGAGAGGGGAGAAAACCCGGAAAGGAACATACACTGTCCCTCTTTGCGGGCGCGGGCCGCCTGTGGAGACTCTGAGGGGCTCTTGGAAGGGCTACACCTTCTCTCTTCTTTCCGGAACTGTCGTAAAGGAACAACTCGACTCCCCGTGTGACGACAGCATCCTTTGAGGGCGGCCAGCGCCCCTCCTGGCCTCCCCCGGCCCGACGCTGCCCCAGGCCTGCGGGCCACCCCGGGCGGGTCTTCCCTCTTCCTCTCCCACGGGGGGGCCACGGAAGGGCCTCCGCGCTCGGAGTTAGTGTCCGCACCCGGGAAGCAACGCGATCGCTCGGGCCCCGGCACGGGGTGCTGAGGGCTGCTCACCCCGGGATGTGAGGGCGCCGCCAGGTGAGGCACGAGGTCGACGGTCGCCGCGCCCCACCCGCTCTCCGACATGGCGCCCTGCGGACTGTGCCTCCGCGGTGACCCTCCAGGGCCCAGGATGCTGCCCCTGCCTCCGCGGCGTCACCTCTGGCAGCGCGTCCCCAAGTCCCCAAGCCTGGCTGCAAGCGCAGACGCGAACCCAGCCCCAGGCCGCCGCGGTCCCAGCCAGGGCCTCGGGTGCAGCCAACGGCTCAGGCCACCCAGGCTGCGCTGCCGCTCCGGCAAGGCGAGCGAGGGGGCTCCAAGACCGGGGGCCGGAGGGCGGTCTCGGGCGAGCACACTGAGCTCAGGCGCTGCTGGTCAGCACGTTGCCCCGAGGCGAGGCTCGGCGAGGCTCACGGCAGACCATGGAGACCAGAACTTAAGTCCAGCAGCTTCCCGGAGAGCGCGGGGCGCAACGTCAGCACACGGCCCCCAGGCCGCACCCCGCAGGCGCCGCACCTGCAGCAGCAGACGGGCCTACCTCTCTCCTCACAGCTGAGCTGGCCCCGCAGGCCCGCCGTGGCCACGGTCAGGAGGCCCGGGCGCGGAGGCTCCGCGGGGGCGACGGAAGTCTTGACTCTGCCCCTCGTCTCCCTGCGAGGCCGCCTTCTCGTCCAGGGTTTCCTGCTCAATGACTTCGTTGGACCGATCGAGGCGAGGCAGCGGCCGCTACGCACACCAGCGACGGGAGGGAGGCGCCCCTCTTGATCCCTTCCTCCGGGGCCTGGAGTCCCTGGCCCTCCACCCGCGGGCCTCAGCTTGGGCGGCCAGAGGCTGCTCGTGAACTCTGCCACCTTCAGCTGCCGCGAGTGCCCACCAGGACCCGCTGATCTGAACACGCTGCCCTTCACGTCCAGGCGCCGGCTGCAGTTCGTGTTGGTCGGTCTCCGGAGCAGGCACTGCAGCCCCCCCCCACCCCCCGTCACCTTCCCAGGCGTCGAGCCCCGGCAGGGCCCTTTGGCTGACCTGTGCCCAACACGCCTGCCCTCCTGGCCGCTGGCCCAGGCCTCGTGGACCTGTCCAGCTGGTCCTGCTGCCGCTCTGCCACTGCAGCAGGGCAAGGCCCCCCCACTCGGAGTCCCAGAGGACTTCACGGCCTCGGGCCCTCGACACAGCGCCTGCCACGCTCACAGCCAGCCTGCCTCTGCGGTCAGCCCAGAGCCCGGGGGCTGCGCTCCCCGGCTCAGCCGAAGGCCAGGAGCGGCAAGGCTGTGTCCCGCCCCTCTCGTGCCAGCAGCTTCCCTGGGCCCTGGTCCAGCCGCCTGTTGGAGCTGCACGGCCAACAGGGCAGCAGCCCTGCCTCGGCTAGTCTCACTGCCCCGGGCCTCGGGCTCTCAGGCTGGCCCTTGGTCCACAAACAGCAACCCCAAATTCCAGACGGTACACCTGTCGCCGGGCGCCTTTGCTGCCCCCAGGGTCTCGGGCCTGCTGGCCTACCAGGCCCATTGTTGGGAAGGGCAGTGGCCACCAAGGTCGGGGTGTTCCCATGGCCTCCCCTGCTTGCCTCTCCTGGGCCAAGAGCTTGGCCAGGCTGTCCCCGCGCACAGCGTCGCCTCATGCACAGAGCGGACGTGTGGACAGCTGGGCACGGCGCTGAGCTCCCCAGGGTGACGGGAGCTGGAACGGCATGGAGGTGGGAGGCGCTCCCTGGAGCTCCCCAAAAACCCGCATGTGGGGCCTGACAGAGACACACCAGGGGACGCCTCCCACTCATGCTGCCTCTGATCGCCCCTGCTCCGCGCGTCAGACTTTGTGCCTCAACGGTATTAGCAACGCCCTCCCTGTCCCTCCCCTTGGCCTGAGGCCTGGATGCAGCTCCCCCCCCGCGCCTCAGGTACCCGCACCCCACCTGCGGCTCCTCCGCCACTTCGCACTGGGGCCGGGTCCAGCCTGCTGGCGCAGGAGGCCCCACAAGGCGTGGCACCCGGGATCCTGGGATGGTGGCCGGCCCCCCGGCAGAAAGCAGCCAGACCAGGTCTTCTGCTACTAATGTATTCCATCTTTCAAAAAGAAAGACATGATTTTAATATCACTTAACAATATGTTAAAAAAGTAGCCGGGCAGGCCTCCGTGTTAATACAGCCGCACGCGCGAACAGACTCGACGGTGAGTACGGGGTGGGTTTGTTTCTGAACTTCTCGTTCTGCAAGGGTCTTCCACAAGCCGGCTACTAGTCAGGGGGCAGACACACACGGCGCGACGGTACACTCTGGACAGGAGGTCGTGGAGGAGCACGGGAGGCCGCCGGGCGCCGTGGTGGGTGCGGGCCGGGCGCCAGGTGGCCGGCCATGCCCGGGCACACGGGAGCAGCCGAGCAGCGGGGCGGGCCCCGGTCCAGCCCGACAGCACAGGCCACGACAGGACGTGTCCCTCGGGGGGGCGGGACACACGTGAGCTACAAGGCAGGTCCAGCAGCAGGATCTCCGCCGGGGTCTCGGCCCGTCCCGCACGGCTGGGCGCAGGCCCCCGGGCCTGGCCCGCCCCACGCCCTCTCCGGCGGTCCTGGTTCAGTGGGCAGCAAAGGTGGCTTTTTTCAAACTAAAATTGGACCAGTTGATGGACAGTCTCTGTCGGGTCTGTCTGGCGGAATCCAGGCAGAATCTGCAAAGACACAAGAGCGACGGTCACGCGTGGGACGCTGCCCCGAGCTGCGCCTGCGCGTCCTCCCCCACCCTCCACGAGGCCGGCGCCTTCCCCTCCCACCCCAGGGAGCCCGGGCAGGGGGACGCTCCCAACGGGCCCACCAGGAGCCTGAGGCTTGACCCCAGCCAGGCTCTGCCAACGGTGCTGCCCTTACCGTGGCCGTGAAGCCTCCGAGGCCACCTGGGTGTCCACTGGCGAGGGTGATGTGAAACCAGAACTTTTTTTATGTCCCAAAAGGTTAGGTTAGGCAAAAGGGAGGTGCTTGCATAGACACACATGGGCAGAAAAAGCTGCCTGAAACCAGAGTTTTTACGGGGAGACACGGTTTTGATACCGTTTGCCCCTCGCTGCCCAGCCCGCGGGGCGTCAGGTACCTGGAGGCCCACGGGCCGCTGCGCTCGCCCCTCCCCAGCAAACAAGGGCCAGTTTTATGCTAAATGAAGGGAAAAGCACTTTCCCCAAAAACCTTTACTTTGCCAAATCGCTCACAGCCTCTCCTTCCTGGCCTTAACCCGGGCAGCAGCGATCAGAGCTCAACCCAGGCTCGGCCTCTCGGCCAGCGCGAGCCGAGCGGCCTCGCTTCCTGGGGCTCCGGCGCACGTCCGGGCGACCAGCTGGCCGGGTGCGCGCTCCCGACATGCCGCTGCTGGCCCGAACGGGGGATGCTGCGTCTCTGCGTCCACCGCTCTCGCGGGAGCGACATCTGCGAGAGACGAGGTGCGCGGGGGGTGCGGCGTGTGTGCGAGCGGCCCAGGGGTCTGTGCTCCAGCAGTGCCCGCCCGGGCCCGGGAGGCGCCTCTGTGTGGCTTCAGAATGTGGTCTTCTCACGGGCGCCCCCAGCTGCCCTTGCAGCTCCTCAGCGCTGGCCGGAGGCTACGGCTGCCTTCCTTGGCGGCCGGTCTCCTGTCCCGTCCCACACGGCGGCCGGAGCGGCGCGGCCTGGGGGAGGGTGACGACCCGGGCAGAGGAGGCCTCTCCTCGGGGCCCTCCGGCAGCCCCACGGCGGAGGGGGGCGCCGCGTCGGGTCACTCGGGGGGCCTGTCTGTCGCGGTCAGGGACAGGCCCAGGCGGGAATGGCGCCCACACACCATGGGGCGGGCGAGCTGCCCGGCGAGGCCCACGATGGTCCGTTGTATTTCCAAGGCACAAAACTCTGGTCTCAGGGGCCTTCGGTGCTTCTGTTCCCCGCTTCATTCTTTCTCTTCTGTACCATTTCCTTCAGCTTTTGTTAAGAAATGTTTCCCGCTTTCTTTGGCCCTCTCGTGTTGCCCTTCTCCTCATTTCTCCAACGCAGCCCTGAACGCACTGATTCAGGCTCCTGACGCCGCCACACCCGAGGCTCCGCAGCAGCTGCGCTCGGGCCGCCTCTCACGTGCGCAGGAGCCTGGAGGCGGCCGGGCGTCTAGCCTCGCGCTCCGCGTCGTGTGGCCGGCGGCCAGCGTGGGGTGGGCGGCGCGGGAGGGAGGCCTGTCCGGCCACCACAGCCGTGCCCCGGGACTCGTGCGACACCGGCTCCAACGCAGCTCTGGCCAGCAGAGACGCGGGCTCTGCGCCACCAGCTCAGCGGGGCGGGCGGGGCCGGGGCAGCCTGACCAGCGTGCGTGGCTGCCGCTGTCTTGCAGGAAGGACTGTGCTTCCAGATTCGCAAATGCTCAGGGACTGAAATGTTTCTTTACTGTCGATCTCCAAACGCTGCAAACCAGTCTTTGCGTGCACGGGGCAGGGAGGCGCTAGTGGGTGTGCGCTGAGGTGCCAGATGCTGCCGGGCCAGACGCTGGGCATGCAGCCCCTAGGCCCAGCCCCACGTTACCTTTTGAAGTACTCCACCTCCCGCTCTGTCTCGTCCATGTCCACGCTGTCCAGGTCGATATCTTTGGGCAGAAAGACATCATCTGCGGGGGAGAGGAGAGGCAGGTCACGACCCGGCCGCCTTACCAGAGGGGACCGATTACTGTTTTACTGAATTTCATCAGCTTCACAAAGTAAATTTCTCTCTAAAATGAGACTTTGAGGCCTCCCTGGTGGCGCAAGGGGTTAATAAGCACTGCACCATGAAGCTGCCCGCAGCCTCTGCAGCGCGAGTCCATCCCTGGCCAGGGAGCTCCCCACAGGGCGCAGCAGACCTCTCCTGTCTCCCCCGCTGCTCCCCTCAGCAGTGCATTTCATCCGTCTGCCTGTTCTGCTCCCCACTCTGTCTCTGGTGGATTCTCTCGCCCCCCGCACCTCTGGCCTGTACCCCAGCTCTTTTTTGCCATAAATAAATCTCTTAAAAAAAAAAAAAAGACGTCACAAATGGCCGAGGTGGCAGGTCGCTCCCCCGCGCTGTGACCCGCTAGCCTGGGCACCCAGGAGTGTGCGGCAAGAGCCCCTGCCTGCCGGCTCCCAAGGCTCAGGGACACCCCACCTGGGGCCATCCAAACACATGCTCAGTGGCCACCCCACTGGGGCGCCCAGGGCACCCAGAAGGCAAGCGTCCTCCCGCGGGCCCCTGTGCCGAGGACAGAGGTGCAGGCCCCAGGGGCAGCGGCACAGTTACAGGGGCTCTCCGGGGTCAGGTCACAGCCCAGAGGCCTCCCAGGAGCCCCAGGCGCTGGCGGAGCCCTCTGCACAGAGGGTGGGAGAACAGGGGGCAGTCCCCGAATCTCAACAAGTCTGGGGGCTCCTTCCTCCTGCTTCACAGCGCCTGTCCAAGCCAGGGGCACAGCTGGGGCGCAGGCAGGGAGCCGCCAGCATGCCCCATCACGGGCCAGTCCCCACCTGCCTGCAGGCCGTGGGTCATTCCCGCTGATGTAACTGGAGGCACTCTCAGCCTGCCCAGCAGCCACAAGCAACTCTGGGCCTCAGGGCGACACCACGGTCTCCCTCTGAAGACCTGTAGGGCCTGCGCCCCACCCGGTCCTGCTGGTGCCAGCTCTCCCTCCTCCGCACCCACCAGCCCCGCACCCTCTCCCACGGGCTGCCGCCGCCGCTCACCCCTGCTCGGCGCCCAACACAGGAGAAAACGCACCTCACAGCCTGCAGCAAGCCGGACCCGAGACTGCCCTGCCGCTGCTCACTCTCAGGGACGGCTGAGCCCAAAGCCCCAGGCTCCTGGATCCCGCTTCACCCGGCCCACAAGGAGCCTGGGCTGCCCACACTGAGCGGCTGCCCCCGGCCCTGACAGGACGCAGGGAGGACAATGAGAAGGCCAGCGCGGGCAGCAACACCCTCACGCGGCCCCAGGGTGGGGGCAGGCCCCGCACACAGCAGGCTCGTCTGGAAAGGCTGGCGCTGACGTGAACCTCAACAACCTTTTCTCTGATTAGAATGATCGATGCCGAAAACCTGGGTATCGGGGTACGTGTAAGCTCAAAACAGAGGGGCTGGGACGAGGCTCGATCAGGGAGACGCCCCCCGACTACAGATCAGTGTTCGCCCCAGAGCTCAGGCCCGTCCTGCAGCCCACGGGGACGCACCGGGCCGGGGCTGGCGGCGAGCACCCGCAGTGGCCACGCAACAACGCCGCCGGGGGCGGGGAGATGAGGGCGCAGAGAGGAGTGCGGGTCGGGGAGAGGGGTCGGGGAGAGGGCCAGCAGGAGGCGCACCCCCAGAGCTCACGGCTAGGGGGGACGGGGCGGGCGCTCGCCCTGCGGGGGATGGGGCTCCCGAGCAGACTCAGGCCAGCGCGGGGCCGAGGCCCAGCAACTCGGGCGCCAGGGCCGGAGGATGAAGGCGCCTTCCAGGCAAGTGGAAACGGGGCGCCTCTCAGACACGCCATGAAAAGCTGAGTCAAACGTGACGGGGAGGAAGCGCAGAGACACTCAGGAACAAACCACAAGCGGAAAAGAAGCCTGCAAAGAAAAACGTTAGCACTACGGGTCCCCAGCCACCACGCAAACAAGCCGCGATGTGCCGTCGAAGGAGCAACGACGGAAACACAGGCTCCCCGGCCAGCCTGTGAGACGGCGACGACGGCCGAGCCGCGAGCCCACGAAGGCACAGGCTGCCGGGGTGTCCGCGCTCAGGCGCAGGGCGCTCCGCTGCAAAGGGGGTTCTTCCAGAAACACTGAAAATGAAACACAAAACCTTCCCAACTCTCTGTGACGTGTAACGCGGACACCCAAAGCTGGTGCTGGTAGCCAAACGGGGGGCGACAGGTGTGTATCTTCCACACACATCACGCAGGACTGGGGGAATCCTGGATGAAGCAACAGCGGGTCCCCCCATGGACGCCAGCTCTGCCCGGACCCGGGACAGAACAGGCGTGAGAAGGACAATCACGTCCGTCTCCACCACGGACGCGAGAAAACTCTGGCAAGACCCCACATTCATTCCTGACACGACACTCAGGAAAGGCAGCAGTCGCCGAGTGTCTTCCGACACGACAAGGAGAACCACCGTCTCCCACAGCCGACGCCTGGGCGCGGGGCCTGGGCGCGGAGACGGCCAGCCCTGGGGCTGTCGTGGCCGGCGCCCGCGCAGACACGGCGGCTCTCAGGTGCGCCCGGCAGCAGCTGGCCAGCTCGACCCCCAGAAGCATGGCTGAGCCGGCCGTGCACCTGGGAGCCCCCCGAAACTTAAAAACAAGTAAAACTAATTTTACTCAACTACATACACCCACGAGCTCACAGCCTCAGGCCGGCGGGGTAAGAGCCGGCGCGGGTGTTTCATTCCTCACGCTGCGGCTTTCAAAACCCAGCGTGTGGGAGGACACGCGCTCGCCCCCCGCCGGCCCCGTGCATGTCTTCCTCCCACCACCCCCAACTCGGCGGCCTCGCTCCAGTGCCCGGCGGTGACAGGCGACCAGCGGCCGCTGCACCAGGCAGGGCAGAGCTGGAAGTAACAGCGGAGAATCCTCGTTACGCTAGAAACGGGAGATTAAATCCTTAGGAACAGGCTCAGCAAGAAATGGGAAAACATTAGGAAAGAAAATTTAAAACACCCCTGAAATACACAGAACCTCCATGTTCTTGGGGGGACGAGCGACATCTCAGAGACACCAGCTCTCCGAAAGGCCGGGGTGCTCGGCAGAGGAGACAGAGGCGGCGCCTGCACACACGCAGGCCCCCCTGGACAGACCAGCGTCCGGGCGGGCGGCGGGGCCGGGGCCGCGTGGAAACACTCACGGCCAGGACGCCGCCGAGCAAGGGGGCGAGACTGGCCCGAGCCCAGGGGAGGCCGCACGGGGAGGGTGCCCCACGACCGAAGAGGAGAAGGGCTCCCCAGGCCAAGTGCGGTGCAGGCGGCGTCACCAGCCGCCAGGAGGGCAACCCTGACGCTGGGCTGTCCCGGGGGGCCCGGCGCACGCCGCCCAGGAGGACACTGCGGAGCCCCGGGGCCGAGCCCACAGGGACGGGCGAAGCTGCCCAGTCACGTCAGGCCAGAGGCAACAAGGATGGACGGACGAGTCCCAGCAAAGCAGACGCTTCCGCGTGGCTGTAAACAAATGCGTCAGACGCAACGTACAGACCGCATCCCTGACACACAAAGAACTTAACAAATGGGAGAAAAAGGCCAAAAGCCCAATAAAAAATAAGAAAATATGTGAATAGGAAATTCAAAAAAGGATACAGAAACAGCCGCTTACGTGCGGTATTACTAGAATTAGAAAAAACACAACAACTACAGGCGTGAGGTCAGGGCAGCTGGCAGCGCCCCCTGCTGGCCAGGCTGCATGACCCCTGCGCGCCCCCAGCCCCCCACCCCGCACATGAGACCCCTCCAGGCAGCGGGAACTGGGAGGCACCAGGCAAGGCTCCTGGACCCAGAGGGTGATTTCTAGATGGTGCGAGGTGTGGGCGTGTGGGGGAGCAAACTGCTGGTGATGGGGGTCCTGGGGGGACAGGCTACCTTTCCTGAACCAAAAGAAAAGCTGACAGAGAACGGAGTGCTTCCCCACGGGAAGGAGGTGGCAACCAGATGGAAAAAGCTGGAAGGAAACAAAACAGGGAGCCAGGCCATGCTTGGAGTGAGCCTTGACCACTCCAAAGCGGGGCATGGCCCTGGCAGAGGCTGCGCCAGCACTGGGCGAGCTCCTGGGGGGCCTGTCTTCCAGGTCCAACAAGCTACCCTGCACCCGGAGGAGGGGTGTCTGGGAGGGACACTGGGGGTGGGCGGGCAGCGCCCTGGCCGGGGGGCGCCTACACAAACACCAGCGTTTCCGGAAGACGGGCGCAGGGGCTGCGTCACTGAGGGGCGGGGAGTGCCCAGGGGTCTGGGTCTGCAGACACCCCTCCACACAGGAAAGAACCAGGGCTCCTGGGAGCCGGGGCAGGTCCAGGGCGGAGAGGGGGACACCTGACCTGTGACGAGACAGCTGTCCTGAGCTGCAGCCTCGGCCTCCCTGTCGACAGCCCCCTCACACGTGGGGCGTTCCCCGAGGGTCTGAACTCAGGATGTACCACGGGCCACCTCTGCCCTGCCCGGGTCTCCCTTCAGATGCCCGCTGAGTGTGGAGTACAGGGCAGTCAGGGAGCCCGCTGGCCACCTCGTCTCTCAGGAGGGCGCTGCCTGCTCTCTCTGGCCCTGGCACCTGGAAGGGGTTACCCGTCCCCTCCGCGCACCCCCTCCTGCCTGCTCTGCGTCTGGGACATCACCCCCGTGGGGAGTGAACTGGAGGGGAGGCTGAGGGAGCCACCTGCCAGGCAGGGGCCTCACTGACAGGTCCCCCCGCACTCCAGGCCAAGGACCAGTCACAAGGCACCAAGGGCTCAGAGAACCCCAAGACCATGAGGCGCAAAGGCGGCCTGGCCAGGCGGGAGGATGCTGCCCGCCCAAGGGAGAGGCCCGCCCGCTGCGCGCATTTACCAAGGGAGCTGCCGGCCCTGTCTCCTTTCTTCTTCTTGTTTTTCTTGTTCCTGCCCTTGGGCTGGGGGGAGTCTGCGGGCACCAGAGTGCTGCCCTGGGGCTCGCCGGGGGGGCCGGGCTCTGAGGGGACAGGGTTCAGCTGCTTTTTGTTGTTGTTGTTGCTGTTGGCCTTTCTCTCCTCCCTCCTCTGCTCCGCCAGGGAGGGGAGGTCCCCGCGGGCCTTGGGTTCGGGCCTGGGTTCGGGCCGGAGCCGGGGCTGGGGCTCGGCGGGCCGGGGCGGCTCTGCAGGCTTCCGCATCAGCTCCCCACTGCTCTGCCGGTGCGGCTTCTCCTCCTGCCCGCCGGCCCCCGCCGCGTGGGGCTGCATGGTGTCGAGGAAGAAGGACAGTGGCTCCTGCGGCTTCCCGCCAGCCCCCTTCGAGGGGAGCAGCACGGAGTCCCGGGATCCCCAAGGTCAGCGGTGCCCCCATCAGCACCTGGCCCGGGCCTGGGCTCCGTGTGGTCCGCGTGTCTGGAAGGGGAGTGTGGTGAGGCCTCTGGCTCCTCAGCCTGCTCCAGGGAGCCGTTGTGGAAGTTCTCAGAGCTAGGCGCAGATTCTGTTGCTGCCTGGAAACTTCTAGCAAGTATGTCCAACTTGGGGCAGTCTTTACGCGGCCTCTCTTTCTTCTTCTTCTTCGCAGCTCGTAGCTTTTGAAGCTCCTGAAGCCGCCTGAGTTCCTCCTTGAGCCGCTCCTCCTCCTCCTCCTCCTCCCGCCGGCGCTGCTCTTCCCGCAGGTGCAGGTGCTCCCGGGCCCTGGCCTCTGCCTCCAGGCGCGCTTTTTCCTCCAGCTACCGGGGAAGAAGAGACAACTTAGGATGACAGGTACAACGCAGCAAAGTAAAAAGCAGATCATACGATCACACGCAAGAAGGCAAGTGCGACAGCGCCCACACCATGTGGACCAGCCCCCGGGGTCAGGAGCGCTTGCTACCACCAGGGCGCTTGCTTCCAGGGGGTGGGAGGGCTGCACAGACACCCCCCGCCCCCCGACCCCGAGTCTAGCCGACCGGGTGTCTCTGGCCTGCAGGCCAGCTGGGTGCACACGACGGCAGCACACGCCTCCGGGGGCTGGCGCAGACTGGGGTCGGGGAGCAAGGGCTCGCCAGGGCGTGTGCTGAGAAACGGTGAACGCCCCCTCCCGGCCCACGGCCACTAGCGTGCAGCGCAGGTGACCTGCCGGCGTGTTCAACATCCAAGGCAAGTTGACAGTGGCTACTTCCGCTTTCCAGCTTGGCAGGAAGACAAGCTGTACTCCAAGTACAGCCGGCATCTCTGCAGCAGCACAGGCCCCGGGACACTAAGGGAGGGTCCCCCTGCTGAGGAGCCGAGCGGAGGCCCAGCTGGCCCCAGGGCGCGGGGCAGCCCAGGACGGCGGCCAGTGCTTGACATGGCAAAGTCTGAGGGCATTCCTGAGCGACCACCACCTCCCGGTCTCACAGCACTCTGGGGAGGCACCCGCACAGCCTCTGGAGGCCTTGTCCACTTGCCCCGGGACTGAAGGCCAGCCACACCCTCATGCCCGATGGGGAGGTGCCCTGGACAGCCGGCCTCTTGGAGTGGCCTGGCCTGGCCCATGGAGATGGGGATGTGGCGCTCGGGCTGCATTCAGAGGAGCTGTGCGGGGGCGGCTCCACCACTCGCTGCCCATCCCAAGGCCAGGGCCCCGCCCCCCGCAGGCAGGACCCGGGGGCCAAGAGGCCGGAGCTGGCCGCAGTGGACCCACGAGACCGCCTGTGTGGAGGGGGTGCGGGCCCAGTGCCACGCGGCACTGACCTTCCTCTGCTTGTGCCGGGCGCGCTTGGCGGCGCGCGCGCTGCTCACGGGCTTGGGCTCGGAGCTGTTGATGAAGCGCAGCAGGTCCTCCACCCTGCGGTGGTCCTCCAGACCCTCCCGCTCCGACAGCGGGCCCGCCTTCTTGGGCTGCTCTTCCTTCCGCTTGGTCAGCCGGAGCCGGAGCTTCTCCCGCATTTCCGCGTAATTCCTGCTGGTCGGCGCGGCTGGAGGCTGCGGCAGGCAAGCGGGGATAGAAACCAACCCTCAGGTTTCCGTGATTTCGGAATCTGACAGATTTCAGACCCTCTCTCTGAAAATGACCATCACCTTGACATCAAGGAACACCAGCTTATTGTGGAAAGTGAGGAACTAAACCAAGGGCAAGAAAGAGAAACCTATCGTGCCACCACCTGCAGGGAGCCTTCGTGCCAACCCGTTAGGCTTACATATTCACGAGAAATCCGGTGAAATACGTCCAACTGTGGACACAAGTGCACATTCTTAAGGTGAAAATCCCGAAGCAGTGCTGCCGGAGTTGTGCGCCCACGAGGGCAGACAGAGCCAGGGAGGAGGCGGCCAGCCCCGCGCTTCCTGCCGCCCGCCCGCCGGCTCCTCGTGCCGCTCAAGATGATGGACGAGCCAGCCAGCAGGTGCCGCGCTCTCCTGGACTCAGACACGGCTGCCAGGCCGCCCGCCTGCCCGCCCGCAGCCACATTCAGGGCTCCAGTCTCTCGGCTGCACCCCCGGGGCTTCCACGCGTCCACCCGGTAAAACTCACAGCTCCGACCCCGGCAGCAAGGAAGACAGAAGCAAAAGCAACTGGGATGAGCTCAGATTAAAAAGCTCTTACGCAGCAGAAGAGAATGCAGTGAGATTACACCACCATCCTACTGGGCGGGGGCGCTCACCCGTGTGGACCACAGGGCTGACACCACGGCCGACCACGGCGGCAGGTGAACGGGCACCTCCCGGGGGAGGCAGAGGCCCTCGACGCAGGAACGACACCTGTCTGGAGTGTCCGCAAGGACATGCTGCCACACCCCGGGAGGGGCAGGCATTAGGAAAGCCCTCAACGGCAAGGGGCCCAGGACGCTGCTGGTGACCATCCTGGAATGTGACTGGATCTACCTTGAAAAGCTACAGCAGGACATGCCGCTAGGCCCGGTGCCTCTCTGGCATCTGCACAAAGAACATGGCGCCAAACGCCATCAGCACTAGCGACGGCCCTGGTGCCTGGGTGAGAACGCCTCAGACCCGAGGAGAGAGACAGCGGCCGTTTACAGCCAACTGGAAGGAGCCGAGGAGACCATGTAGTGAAGCAAGGACTGTGTAGTGACCAGCAGAGAGGAGAGAGGACGCGTGCACAGCCGATGGCTGCACAGAGACTCAGAAAGGCCGGCGGTGGTGGGAAGGCGACGGGCCCAGCCACGCGCGAGCTGGGGGCAGGACCCAGTGCACTGGACAGGGGCCTGCCCGAGGCCCCGCGGCTGCTCGGGGACAGCGACCCGAGGACACACACATGCTGCCCGGGGTGGGGGGGGCCCTGTTCCTGTAGCACCGCGTCCGCAGCCACGCTCGGGAACAAGCCACGCCCCCAAACAGGCAAGCTGCTCAGGAAGACGCGTCTCGCACGACCGCCCGACACTGCACGCCAAGGCCGCTGGGAGGGAGGGCGCTCGGTGCAACAAGCCAGAAGGAGAGTCTCTCTTCACTGAGCGCCCTCCCTCCCGACGGGCTCACGTACAGGAGGAACACAGGGAAGCGACAAAGGGTCAAGAAAGAGACAAAACCTGCAGGTGACCATGGAGCTGAGGCCCCAAGCAGGGGCGGGGAGGGCACAGGGACCACGGTGACGGGCCACGTGCTGTGGGGGTGGGAGCCTGACAGGGACCGCACCCGAGGGAGAGATAGCCAACGCCGTACAAAAATGAACAGTAACGTAAGACTAAATCAAAAAGACAAAACCCTTTAAACCATATAAAAAAATAAACGGCAGCGGCAGCGAGCTTTCTAAGGTCCCGAGGCCGGGGTGAGGGGCGGTGGCGGGGAGAATAAACCACAAAGAAAACCCGGAGCGAGGACGGCCCGGCGGCCGGCTCTGGACGCGCTGCCCCAGCGTCTCTGAGGCGAGCACAGCCTGCAAGCGGCGTCTCCGTCTCAGACCCCGTGTGGGTTTTACCTGAGCTGCCAATAAGGCCGGGTCTGGGCCCCGCGCACCCACACCGCCCCGGGGCCTCCTGCGGACCTGAGTCTTGTCGGCCCGCCCAGGGGTGACCCCCACTCCCGGGGGTGCCCTCCCCCGGGTACCCCGCACCCTCCGGGGACTCACCCCGCCGTGCCCGAAGAACTCGCAGTAGCAGCAGTCGCAGTACTTGCCCTCCTTCTGGTTGGTGGACGTGGAGGTGCTGGAGCTGTGCTCGGAGCAGCTGTCCTCGTCCCCGCTCTCGTCCCCGTCGTCCTGCTGCGGGTCGTAGGTGCCGTTCTCACAGCGGTGCCCTCCGCAGTCGGGGTCGCTGCAAACCGCACGGGGCGGGTCAGCGCCGCGTCCCCAGCCCGCCGCCTCCCCAGGCCCCCGCCCCAGAGCAGGGGCCGAGGCTGCTCGGGCAGCGGACACCCGGCCGCAGGTGAGGTGGCACAGTCTCGCCACGGCCTGGCCGCATGCTGGGGCGGGGGCCCGCGAGGGGGAACCCGAAGGCAGTGGGAACTCTTAGAAAGAGGCCCGAGTGTGCCGTGTTGCCCTCTGCTGAACGGGGCGGGCCCCAGCTCCCAAGAGGGCGCGGGCCTCGGCTGGCCGCTCACCTGCAGACGCTGGGGGGTGCGCTCACGGAGCCGTCCGTGCTGGGGGGCGGGGGGGCCGCAGGGCCGGGGCAGAAGCTCTTGCGCGGCTCCACGAAGCCCGGCGCCGTGGTGGCCGTCTTGGGGAACGCCGGGGCTGGGAGGTTTCCCAGGTGGGGCGTGGGGGCGGGCGCGAGGGCGGGCAGCGGGGCCAGGCCGGTGGGACTGCTCCTGGGGGCAGCGGGCACGGCGTGTCTGTGGTCCTCCTTACTGATGCTGTGGAAGACGTCCCCTGCAAGCAGGCCCCCGTCAGCACCAGGGCCAAGGACCGGCCTTGCGCGGCGCAGCTCGAGACCCCACAGCACAGCCCGGGCCAGGAGCTGCAACTCTGCGCCCTCGCCACGGCTCAGCATGGAAACCCGTCTCCCAGACGTGCCCCAGGGAGCCTGCCCCAGCGAGCCTGCCCTGCCGGCCGCCGACCTCCCCGGACCCCACAGCGCCCAAGCTCCTGAGTCGAGGTCAGCGGGACCGTCAGGATCTACAGTCTCGTGACTTGATTTAACTGAAGAAAGTTTTTTGCGTGAATCCTGCAGGGGCCCCGTGGGCACCCTCCGCTCCAACTGTGTGGAGAGGCGCACTCAGGCACCCCCAGCAGATGCAGAGCCCCGAGCTGGCTCTCGCTGCCCCCAGGCCCTCTGCCCACCTCAGGCTTCCAGTGCTCCCCCACCCCCGCCTGGGGTGGGCCCTTCAGGCCCCTGAGGCACATCCAGGGAGGAAGCACCTCGAGTGGCAGACAAGCGGGCCGGAGGGCGGGGCCCAGAGCCGCAGGAGCCTGAGCCCGGGGCTGGCGGCCGTACCTACGGAGGGCGGCCTCTTGGACGACACTCTGAACTGGCTGTTGCTGGACTGCACCGTGGTGGCCGTGCAGGAGACGGAGGAGGTGGCTGAGGAGGTGGCCATCACGACCTTGCTGGCTTCCGTGAAAGCGTCTTGGAAATTGTACAAACATTTCTTTCTCGCAGTGTTTTTTTTCTCTTTACTCTCTGCAGGCGTTTCATTGCTAGACGGAGGTGGGAGGGCTTCAGGTCTCGTTTCTGAGAGAGTTGGCCCTAATACGTCACTCCCTTCAGAGAAGAACGGGAAGATTTAGGCGTCAACAGTAAATGCCACTGAGGTGAGCCCCACGGACCTGCTCCTGACTCGCCCCTCAAAGGCTGGGCTGCCCCGAGTCAGGACCCCTGGGAGGACACTGGGCAACCAGCCTTTATCTACGAGAGAAACTGCGCCCCTGCTATGTGCCAACTCCCGTGCTAGGTGCTTTTTGGGGATGCGCATTGCCCAACAGCTGTTTTAGCTCAGGTTCCGAAGCTGCTCCTATTATTCCCACCCTCAAGATGAAGAAGCTGAGGCTCAGAGAGGCTAAGCAACTTGCCCAAGGTCACACAGCTAGACACCTAAGCACAGACCAGATGTAAGGCCAGCTTGTGGTTCTGAGCACATGCAGGGGCTGAGGCGGGGCCATGAGGGGCTTGAGCCACGTGACAGGTGAGGTGGGGGCACCAGCTCCCTCAGGAGCGGCAGGCCCTGCTATCTCAGTGACAGCTGAGCCTTGGCAGCTGGGAGGAAGCAACTTGTCAGAGGCACAGGGCCCATGTAGGGCCGCCACAAAAGAGGCACGTAAGACACGCAGTCACGTCCACCAGGGCATGACCACCCACTGTGCACGGCTCAGAGCCGGGGGTCCCCGCCTGAGGACCAGAGGCCAGACACCAGACCCTGGGAAGGAGACGCTCAGGCGGGGGCAGCGTGGGGGGCGGCTGTGGGCCATGGCAGGCACGGGGTGGCCAGTGGGCAGGGAGGGCTGGGCCCCGCCCTTGGCTCCTCCCAGGGTGTGAGGCAACCACCATGGCAATGAACTCAGCGCCGCAATTCAAACCTTCAAGGAAGTTTAACGAGTTCCTTACCAGAAACTGTGTCTGGCAGGAAAGTGCCAGGATTCCAGTCCTTATCATTCATCACTTGCGCGCCCCACAGACTTATAAACTTAGAACTATTCCACTCTGGCGTGCTCCCGAAACAGCTCGGGTAAATATGGTCCTGAAGAGACGCACTGAATACCTGATGCTTGTTTGTGTGATTCTGAACAGGTGCTGGCGGTAAAGCCTACAAAAAAAAATGCTCTAATCACAATCAGGATCAATAGTCTGTTTCCCGGCGCAGACCACAGAGCCGCGTCGTCACAGAGACCGAGGGCGGCCGGGGTCCCGAGTGACGTGGGAGGCCCGGGGCGCCGCGCAGGCTTGGAAGCGGCTAGTGTTTCCAACAGCCTCAGGGCCGCGACTGCTGACTCCCGCGCAGCGACGCCCGCGCGGCATCCCGCCACGCCGCCCAGGAAGGTGACTGTGGAGTTGCAGAAAACGGGACCACGGGCTGGTCCCACCCACAGACGGCCTGGGGCCCGCGGCCCCAGGGGAGGGGAGCCGGAGTGCTGCTCCCTGCTGAAGACACTAGGGCCCCTGGTCCAGAGGGGGAACCCAGAGTCCCAAAGGTGGCTGGCCCACCCTGCTGCCCGCCGGGCCACTGGCACGGGGGCCTCCGGCTCCTCCCTGATGTGAGTGTCTGCGCTCTCTGCACCCACATTCTAGGACGTCCCCGCCCCACCCAGCGAGAGGTGTGGCTGCCTCCACCCCCAAGGCCGTGGCCAGGACCGTGGGAGGCCGCCCGCTGAACACCCACGGCCATGGTCGTCATCTGAGAATGTACCAGTGATCATCAGAAGCTCCCATGTCTCCCTGCCCTCGAGTTACATAAGCTCCAGGGGTGCGGAGGGCTGGGGCTGGGCCTACCCAGGCTGCGGCACGTGGCCACCCCGTGTCTGGCACTGCCCGAGCAGGCGGCTGGGGGGGAGGGGAGGAAGGGTGGTGCCGGGCCCCAACCTGCAGCATGCAGTGAGGGGTGAGTGTGTGGACTCGCGGGGAGGGTTGGGGGGGACTTCCAAGAGCGGGTGATGGCTGGGCAGAGGGTGGGAGGGAGGGCGCAGAGCCCCCACCCGAAGGGTCAAACCAGAGGCGGCCTCGAGAAACCTGGCCCCCCAGAGAGGGCAAGAGAGGCAGCGGAGCGTGACCGCCGGAAGGACGCATGGGAAGGGCGGCCCAAGTGTCCGCTCGGCCTCAGGCTGTGGCGTTGGGCTCAGACACCAGCCCCCCTTCTCCTAGCTGTGTGACCTCAGGCAAATTCCTCAATCTTCTTGTGCTTCAGTTTTCTCATCTGTGATTTGGAAATGCTCCCTCCAGGTTGTGGAGGAACGAAACCAGAGGCGCCAAGCGCGTGGACCCTGGGTGCGTGCTCAGGGGTCTGTGCGCTTCCTGAGAAGGGCCCCAGACACAGACCCGGCCCCACTCCCCCGCCAGCGCCTCAGAGAAGAGCACATGGGGTGGCAACCCAGCAGTCGGGCCCTCGCACACCTGCTGACTTGAGCGGTCGGAGAGGACGTTCGGGGCATGGATGGGAAGAGACCGGCAAGGGTGGCCGCCAGGGCAAAGGCAGGAGCCAATGCCCTGGTGGGCAGTGCTGGCGGTGAAGAGGCAGGGACAGCACCCCAACAACCTCCAGCGCCTAAGAAGTGGCGGCCAGTTGAGAGCTGCTTTGCCGAGAAGGACTGGTGAAAACTAAGGAGTCCCGAGGCCCTTCTGCTGAGGAGTAGACCCCAGCTCCTGTCACGCCACCCGTGACCGAGAAGCGGCCCTGCCGCACAGCCTGGTTGCTGAGATGCACTGGCCTGGGCATGCCACCTCTGTGCCCGCGGAGGGCCAGGCTCCGCCACTCCCTTCAAGGCCCAGCGCAGCCTCACCTCCTCTGCACAACCTACCCAAGCCTCCAGCAGCTGGTCTCCCCTCTGACCTGCACTCCCTCTGAAGGGATGTCATATATTTTGATTTTTCAATTTTTGTCTTTGTCTTTCTTTTAACCCCAAGACCCTTGAAAATGGGCTCTAGACTTAACGGATTCTGTTTTCCTGGCATGTAGCACGGGGCCTGGCACCTACTGGATGTTCAATAAAAGCTGAGCTCAGCACGGAGGAATCCGGGAAACACAAACTAAAGCCCCTACAGGGGCAGCCTGTGCCCCAGAGCCCACCAGCCCCAACAGCAGACGAGTTTCCTCTCAGAGAAAAGAAGCCTCTCTCTGTCAGCAAGACCGGCACCCAGGCCCCCGCAGCCCACTGGCTGTCAAGTGCGAGGCGAGTCTCAAACACGTGGGCGATGCTGTTGGATTAGGACACTGACTTCCGTCTTTGCACCAGTCCGCACAGCGCCAAGTGACGGAAGTTTCGATTGTTCTTCAGACCGAGGCAAAGGTGATCTTAGAAAAGCAAAAGTTTTGCTTTAAATGAAAGTTCTGGCAAACACACAGTCGACGCCACCACCACATGCTGCTCGCGCTCGGCGGAAGTCGGCAGATCCAGGCTATCTCGTCACCACCTCTGCCGTCCCAGATGGGCACAGACAAGAGCCGAGAAAGTAAGGTGGGCCTGACAGAGATGGGACAGCAGAGGCTCGGCCAGAAGGCAGCCCAGCGACGTCCCAGGACACGGGACATTGAACTGAGTGCCTGAAGTCTATGTTTGTCTCACTAGGATTGTCAAGATGCCTCTGAGGACGGGAGGAGGCCAAACGCCACCTTTGTCTGGGCCTTGCTATTTCTCAGGCCAGAGACCAGAAGGCAGATCACAGGGGACAAGGTGGCCCCACAAAGCACTCGGCCACGTCCCTGCTTCCCTCACAGCTTTCCCCCTAGATTCCACCCGGACCACGCTCACGCCCCGGGGTCACTTCCAGGGACACTCCTGCAGGGGTGGGCTTCCCCAACCTGGTGAGGGAGGCAGCAGCCGACCAGAGCCACTCAGGAGACCAAACTCACTGAGGCTGTTTCAAATACTCCTCATGCTCCCAGGGGAGCAGTCACCTTCCCTCCTCCTTCTGCCCCCCAGGCACTTTCCTGCCTGGAGATCGTCCCCTAACCTGGAAGATACTGACAAACTGAAGTTGGCACCTAAGTGGCAGATTAACATAGAGAATCACTTAACTGTAAGACTAATACAAAAAAGTTCTTGGAGGGGCCTCCCTGGGGGCGCACGTGTTAAAGACAGTGCTATACAGTGCTGTCAAGCTACTGGTAGCCACTGCAGCAGAAGTTGGATCCCCCACCAGCCAGGAGCAGCCCATAGGGCACAGACCTCTCCTGTCTCCCTGCTGTTTCCCTCAGCAGTGCATTTCAGTCTGCCTGTTCTGCTCCCCACTCTGTCTCTGGTGAATCTTCTCACCACCCGCAACTCTGGCCTGTACCCCAGCTCTTGTGTGCATAAACCAATCAATCTTTAAAATTAAAAAAAAAAAAAAAAAAAAAAAAAAAAAAGAACTGTGGGACAATTTCAAAGGATGTAACATGCTAATTGGATACCAGAAGAAGGAAGGAGACAGACAGAAGAAATGTTTGAAATCCTATGGCTAAGAACTTTCCAATATTAATGACAGACACCAAACCACAGATTCAGTAAGGTTGGAGGAAACCAAGTAGAATAAATACCCCAAGTCAACACTTAGGCATCATATCCTATGCAAAGTGCAGAAAACCTTAAAAAAATCTCAGTGCAGTTTGGGGCAGAGGTGAGGGAGGAAACCCTCTACCTACAGAACAAGGAAGAGAATCAGAGAGGACGTGTCACCAGAAACCATGCAAGCAAGGGGACAGTGCAGTGGAATATGCTTTAGAGTATGAAAGAAAAAACCACCAACCTAGAATTCTGTATCCAGGAGCTTATCCTTCAAAAGTGAAGGAGAAATAAAGGCTTCCTCAGACAAACAAAAACCGAGGGAACTCATCGCCAGCAGACCTGCCCTGTAAGAAATGTTCAAAGATTTTCTTCAGGCAGAAGGAAAACAATACAGATCAGACACTTGGATGTACACAAAGAAAGGGAGAGCGCTGGAGAAAGACTATGTAAAAATCTCATTTAAATTATTAATTCATAAAAAACCCGTCTTAAGTAACAATAGCAGCAATGTACAGGGCGATCGAGGCGGACACCTGTAAATAAGGACAGCAACGCCACAGGCATGGGGACGGTCTGTTAAAAGGAGCCTGCACTACACAGGAAGTTTAAGAGTGTTCTTTGAAGGGGGGCTCAGATTAGCTAAAATGCATGTTCTACATTCTAGGACAACTGCTAATTTTTTTTTAACAACAAGTTTACTAAGAAAAGACAAAAAAGAGAGACACCTACAGAGACACAGATGAGCAGTCTCAAAAGGTAAGAACTGCCACAGCTGCTAAAATTTTTTTTAAAGTGTAATTGATATGCTATGAAAGGAGATAAATGGGATCAAAGTGCCCAATTATAAGTCGAGGAGGCAGAAAGAGAAGCCTCTGGTAATACATAGGGAAGTCACAAAGAGAATTGCTGTTGATAGGGTGGTCCTGCATCAAAAGTCACTTTAAACATGAATGGTCAAATATACCAAAGGAAAGACAAAGACTAATGAGTCTATTTTAAAAAAGTCCCAACTACATGAGTCTAAAAGAAACCTATTAATTAAGTATAAAGATTCCCTTAAGCTGTAAGTTAAGTGGATGGAGAAAAATATACCATGTTGGCACTAATCAAAAACTGGAATGACTGTACTGATTTCAGACAGCTTGACTTTGGAGCAGGGAAAATCGCCAGGAATAAAGAGAAGGGCATGGCATAAAGATAACAGCGAATTCTCTAAGACATATACACCTGACAACAGAGAACCAAAATGCATATGGCAAAAAGAGATAAATATAGGGGAAAATAAGGGAATTCATTATTATTTTTAAAAAATATTTTCATTTATTTATGCACACAAAAGCTGGGGTACAGGCCAGAGGTACGGGGGGTGAGAGGACTCACCAGAGACAGAGTGGGGAACAGAACAGGCAGATTAACCATAAAGTATACTGCTGAGGGGAGCAGCGGGGAGACAGGAGAGGTCTGCTGCGCCATGTGGGTAGCTCCCTGGCCGGGGATCAAACTCATGCTGCAGTGGCTGGTGATAGCTTGATAGCATTGGGACTTTAATCCCTGTGCCACCTGGGAGGGCCCCGTGATTTCATTATTACAGTTGGAGACGCAACACTCCTCTCTCAGAAATGGACAGACCCAGCAGGTAAAAAAATCAACAAGGATATGGCTAAACTCAACCACACCACCCACCATCTGGATCGAATCAACTACTTTGCCCAAATTAAATGATGACATGTTCTTTACGAGGTGGCATGGGGGGGCATCTTCCTGGTGGCACAGTGGGTTGAGCGCTGCGTTGTGAAGCTGTCTGCAGCCTCTGCAGCACAGGTTCGATCCCGGCCAGCCGGGGAGATTCCCACATGGCGCAGCAGACCCCTCCTGTCTCCCTGCTGCTCCCCTCAGCAGTGTCTTTGGTCCGTCTGCCTGTTCTGTTCCCTGCTCTGTCTCTGGTGAATCCTCTCACCCTCCCGCACCTCTGAACCCTAGTTCTTGGATAAATAAATAAATCTTTAAAAAAACAAAAACAAGGTGGCATGACTTGGTGGCAATCCACCAAGACAGACCGCATTCTAGACCATAAAAAATAGTTACAGATTAAAAAAATAATAGAACTCATGCACTGTATGCTCTCAAATCATAACAAAATAAAGTAAAACCAGTATTAGAAAGACAGCTGGGAAATCCCCAAATATTTCTAAATCAAATTCCCTGTTACATAGTTTTAATTTTTTCTACAATGTTTTTTCTCTAGCACCTCTCCAGTATTTTCCTTTGGCAACTACTTTTAACTTTTTTTTAAACTTTTTAAAAAAGATTTATTTTTATTTATACAAGAACTGGGGTATAGACCAGATGTGCAGGAGGGTGAGAGGATTCACCAGAGACAGAGCGGGGAACAGAACAGGCAGACGGACTGAAGACACTGCTGAGGGGAGCAGTGGGGAGACAGGAGAGGTCTGCGGCGCCCTGTGGGTAGCTCCCCGGGTGGCCGGGATCGAACCCGCGCTGCGCTCGACCCGCTGTGCCACCGGGGAGGCCCTACTTTCAACTTTCAAAAAATATATTTTAACATATAAATGAAAGGTATATATTACTGGTATGACATTTAAAAATAGTCTTTCAGGTCTCTCGATTTCAGGGAAACACGTCTCTCACGGCGTTCACGGCAAGCACCGAGCGCCACGTGCTCACCCACACACTGGCTACAGGATGGACTGAACAGCGACACAAACCCTTGAAGACGACAACTGTCGTTTCACCACAGCAGAGACTCCTAATGGTTCCGGCAATACAGAAACAGGGAGATGAGCAGGGCCTCGATGCACACCACCGCCCCGCTCTTCAGCAACACTGTCACCCGCCAGCTACACCGAACATCATGCCAAACCAGCTGGCCCGAGAAAGACAAGTCAGTGCCAGCTGACAGCGCTGGGCAGGCCGCTGAGCCCAGCCAAGCCCAACTAGCCCCAACAACACAGACGCGTCTTGCATGACCTGGTAAGTGACAAGCAAGTTTGTTTAGAGGAACAAACACAAAAGTGTTTATACCAGGTGTAAATAACATTTTCCCAAACATATCTCATTTTTCCAAATGAAAATGGCATCCAACTAATGTATTTTAAATGAATTAATGATGAGCCTTGACATCACTAAGTGGTTGATGTCAGACGTAACAGCTTGTATTGGGCATGTGCTTCTGTCCTCAAGTCTTTCACATCCACCTACTGGACTAAAGCTTAGGATTATCAAATAAGTAGATTTTAAGGACAGACAAAGCTCCCACAAAATGTTTTTCTCCTCCTTTATGCTTCTGTAAGACTAGAATGTACTGAGAAAAGTGTCAGGGGACACTAGAGCTAGTGTCTCACCAGCTCGAGGAAGAACCAGTTTCACTTCACTTGCAAATTTTTAGGAACTATTCTTGAGTTGCATCTAGCAGCAAGAAAGTACAACAGGACGTCTGTACGCCTTCGCAGGGTGCAGCAAGAACCAGGGCGGGGCTTCCCGACCTCCTGTGTCTGCCCAGCCCACGAAAGCGGCCCGGCTTGACCACGTACCTGAAATGCTGCTGAAAACCCCCCTGTTCAAGAAAGCATTAACTACTCAATCTGATAAAGCATAAGCACGAGCCATGACATGTAACAGACACAGGGCACATTCCACTTTAAACCAGCAGCTCCTGATCTCCCACGTGGGTACCTCCCCAGAAAGCAGGAGACCCCAAACCCCGCCTTGCCCGGTCTTGCTGCAGAGGGCTCCGGGGGAAGCCCCTTCCCTGCCTGTCCACGTCCTCCCTGTTTCTCCATCAACAAGCACCATTTTACATGACAAATCAGTAGAGTCTGGAGAAGATTCACCTTCTGACCAATTAGAACTAACCTTGAACCAGAATAAAAATAAAAACCAGAATTTGAGTCATAAAAGGTAAATTCAAAATAACTAGAAACACAAACAAAAGGAGCTGTGCATCCCCGGCAGTCGAGACCCCGGCAAAAGCGGGGCTCCCGAGCAGACCCAGAGAGCCAGGCCTCTGTCCTGCATCCCTCTGTCCCCCTCGGGAACTGCTCTGGGGGCCTCTGGCCGCGGGCCGTCAGGACTTCCTGCCTGGGGGCTGTGCCACGAAAGAGCCCCCACTGTGTATGTGCCTGGCCCATGCGGGTGGGCAGACTCGTGACCATTGGCCACTGACCACCCTGCTCAGCGCCAGCGCCGGGCCCCAGAGCAGAGCGTGTAACCAGTGACACCCCAACATGCGAGAAGTGCGCGCCCAAGTCACCCTGGAGGGCAAAGAGCTGTGTTCGTGCCGTGGGGTTCAGAACCAGAGTCTGAGCGTGTGGGGAGGCCGCGGCAGCAGAGGTCGTGCTCGAGTGGGCGGTTCCCCACACGGGCTGCAGACTGCGGGTCTTTGCTGACCACTTAAGAGGTGAGAGAGAGGGAGCACTCAGGCCCCCTCCGCCTTGACTTACCTTGCTGTGTGTGAAGGGGGGTGCCGTGTACAAGGTGGGGTGGATGAGAGGACGGGGCAGGTGTGGAACCGCGTGCAAAGGCACATGTCCGTGGATGTGGGGGTACAGGTGCAGAGCAGGGTGTGTGGGCTTCTCTGGGCTCACAAACTGATGGCCAGGAGGAAGCGCCCCAGCGGTCATCGCTGAAGTGGACAGTCCAGAAGCTTCCTGTTTACAGACGTGACACTCACAGGTGCTGGGAGCTTGTTCAGCCTAAACAGAAAGGAAAAAGGTGCCTGCTCAGTGGCTGGAACACAGGAGGCGACAAATTCAATTAGAGGCACCACATTCTACCAAGAAGTCACTCCAAATGGAAAGGTAACGGGCTGGTCCTGGCACCCTTAATGAGGGACCCCAGCGGCAGGGGTCGAGAGGCCTGAGGAGAGTCCCCAGGTGGGCATCTGCTGGGGACAACCTCAGGATCACAGCCTGGCCTGTCTGGGCAGGGGTAAAGGGGCTGGTACAATGGCGGAGCAGAGGGGTGGCCACGGACAGCAAGACCTGGGCACTCTGCCCCGCTGGGCTCAGGCTTAATAAAGGGCTACTGGACAGTCTCCAAAATGCACCGAGGTGGGGCTTCCGGCTAAGGTGCAGCGAGGCGGCCGGTGGCTCCGCTCCCTCAAAACAAGCGTAAAATGGAACACAACTGTCAAAGGCAACACTTCTGAGGCTCTGAAAACCAACCAAAGGAAAAAACAAATGAGACGTGTTTATTCAGGCAAATCTGCTGGGACTTCCGGTAAAAACAGAGGGCGTCTGGCCCTTCTTGCTTGGGGCTCTACCCTGTGCCTCCACACCTTAGAACACTAAACTGAACAAAACACACTTAAAAGACCAGATAGCCGAGAGAAAATGGCACACTACTGAGCTTCTTTAATGCAAAAAGGGGCAGTAGAGGAGGAACAGGATGGCAACCCACTGACGTGCAGGAGGAACAGCGCCGGCGTCACGTCAGGCGGAGAGGAGCACGGATCCCAAGCGGGCGCGGTGGATGACACGCAAGGCCCAACACGGGGGTGTGAGGACACGTTTTGGAATCACAGACACCACGAGGCTGCAGGCATCAGGCCGGAAACATCGGAGGCAGGTGGCGGCCCATGAGCCGGCTGGGGCAGCCATGCTGGCGCCGCCTCAGCGCCCACGACAGACACCGACAGCAGAGAGACAATTCACGCCATCAGCCACTTGGCCCAGAAGACGACGGTGACGGACGGGGGCACATGCTCAGCCTCGAGGCCGACATACGTGGCTGGGAGAGCAGAGACAGTGCGGTCGGAGCCCCCAGCATGGCGGCCAGGGCATGGGAGGCCTGGGGGCGCCGCCTGCCAACCCGGCTCTCGCTGGTAGGCCCCCTCGCTTAACAAGGCAGAACGTGACCTGGGAGAAACTTTTGCTAGGACGTGGAACAACCTCAGGAATTTAGGGGCTCTTAAGTCAGCAGTTTAAGCTTTTGATTCAACAATTTACTAAAAGGAGAACAAATCAAACCCAAAGGATACAGAAAGTAATAAACATCCAAAGAAAAATCAACGAAGTAGGGAAAAAACCCAGAAAATGAATAGTCAAAATTTGGTTATTTATAAAAATTGATAAAACTTTAAGCCAGGCTCATGGTGGGGATGATTCAAAGAGCCATACAAGAATTTTAAGGGACTATAATAACCCATGCTGTCAGGTTACACATTCCTAGAAAGACAGAGATTGTTAAAATTAAGAAGATACAAGAAATCTGATTAGATCTGTAATAATTGGAATTCGTAATTACAGGTTCTGCCATAAAAAAAGAACAGGCCTACGGGACTTCACTGGTGAATTCTATCAAATATTTAAGACTCCTCAGCCGCGCACACACCCCTTCCTAAGACGCAGCAGGATACCTTCCAGCTCCCCCCGAGCCGGTCACCCGGCGCCAGTGTCCCCAGAGCAGTACATAGGCCAGCGTGGGCACCATCCCTTCCGGCAGACGCAGACCCAGCCGCGGGCAAGCCAGCCAGTCAGCAATGCGCAAGCAGCATTGCCCACGCAAGCATACAGACCTGCGGCTGCAGGCGGGAGCGGGCCCACAAGTACAGGAAGGGGCCCGGGAACCCCAATGCGTGTCCGTGTCTGGCAGGAGCCAGACAGAGCGCTCTCAAGTCCACACAGGGCACCTGTGAAAATCTGCATCACCCTTGCTGGGCCAGACGGGATGGCCCCAAGACTGCTGCGTGTCCCGCACCACCAGAAGCCCCCGGGCCCAACCACGCAGGGGCTCGAAGAGGCCCAGGCTGGGGAAGGTAGAAGCGGAGCCGCCGCTCGCAGACAGCAGGGGCCTGCGTGCAGGGCCGCCCGAGTCCTCCGCCACAGCACAAGCCCAAGGCTGCTGCACGTGGCCGAGGGAACAGCCCCGTGGGACGACAGCCTGGCAGGTGAGGGGATGTCCTAGTGCCCGGGCTAGACAGCCCGCGACAACTCTACGGAGGGAAACTGAAGATGACGAAATAAACGGGGAGGCCCCGCGTGCACACACAGAGACTCAGTTTTGTCGAGACTGTTGCCCTAAACCGGGCTGGAGCGCACCACTCACAGGGTTGGGCGCTGAGACTCAGGCTTGGGGTGCAGCCATGAAGCCCAGCAGGCGGGAGAGGTCCACACCAGCTGCCCCAGCGCTCCAGAAGGCCCAGGCAGCACAGGTGCATGTGGCAGGGGACAAGGCCTGGGCAGGGCAAGGCCTCCCACACGCCAACTGTTTCTGCTGAAAGGCCGAGGCCACTCAACAGGGAAAGGGCCATCTTGACACAAAGGGACTGGACAGGTGCCGCCGGGCAGGGAGCACTGACCCTTGCCTCACACCACGAGCAGAAACACAGCCGGTGGCCACAGACCCGCCCAGGGACAGCTCTGCACAGGGCAAAGCGTCCTCGGGTGAGACACAAGCACAGTCCAGAAAAGCCAGCAACAGGGGGGCCAGCGGCAGTCCACTGAGGCTGAGAACCCGTGCTGTTCAAAACCGCTTGGGGCCGCAGACCAAGCGACGACTGCAGGCCACAGGCCGCACACCCAACAAAGGGCTCGCGGAGCACGTGAAGGTGACAGAAGGGGATGAGGGCCCACACGTGGGACCGGCGGTCAACTCTGCCCGCGCGAGGTCAAAGGAAGCCACAGGGGCCACTGTCTTATCAGAAGGCAAAGCCCAGAACGGGGACAGCACCTCTAGGGGGGGGCTCCTCGCTCCCAAGCAACAGCCCTGCTGGGGGCATGCCAGGCCACACCCACCTGTCCAAGCAGCAGACACCGGACTGGACCATCCACTGCGGGAGAGAAGGGGGAGACATGCACGCATCCCCCAGCAGGACCGGGGAGCAGGACCCCCGGGCCACGCGCATGCCGGCCGGCAAAGCACGGCAGGTGGGAGCATGGAGCAGAAGAGGGTGTGTCAGGACACAGCCTTCTCCATAAGAAAAAGACAAATACTCGTGTCTGCAGAGATGGACCCGGGCAGGACACAGGCATGAAGCGGAAGTGGCCCCTGCGGACGAGGATGGCGGAGAGGCGGGGTCAGCTGGGGATACCTGGGCATCCCCAAGCTGCATCGCGCCCACAGCTGGTGGGCCACGCCCTCGCCTGCACTGTCCCCTTCCATCTGGAGACGCGGGCGCCTGTGTAAGACTCCGAGTACCTAAGGAAACGGCCGTCTGGGGGCGCCTCAGCACCAGGCCTGCTGAGGGATGCCCGCAGGGGAGGGATCCCTGGAAACCAGCCCCCTCTAACTCCACGTCCTGTCACTTCAGCTAGTGAAAACCCTCGGCCCTCGTCTCTGTAGGGACAAGCGCTGTCAGACCGTGGGAAAAACAGGTCGTGGGCAGCATCTGTCCCCGGGCCTGGCCTGCTCCTCTCCCGTCCCGGCCTTCAGAGGTTACTTGAGTCAATTTTGTTTCAGTAACGTTCATGTTTAGAGAAAACACACACAGAAGAAACCCCTGGCAGAACAGAGCCTGTAAGGAAGACGGAATCCCACCTGCTGGGCCGGGTATGACGGAGGCGGGCTGTCCCCTTTGCTGTCCTCTTTCCCGGGGCTCCCGTCCCCCAGTGGGACGCCAGCTTCCTGCAGGGCACCCACCGGCTCGCCCCCGCTCTCGCCGTCTGCATCTTCGTCGTCAGCGTCCGAAGAGCTGCTGCTGGTACTGCTCACCTGAGGGGACTGAAGACGGCCCGTCATGTGCACGCCCCAGAGCAGGCTCGGGCAGGCAGCCCCGCGCCACGCCGCTCCCACCTCGTCCTTCAGGGCCAGGTTCTCGCCGGCCCCGTTCAAGCTGCTGTGCGCCCCGTTCATGCCGGCCGCCACGCCCGCATCGTCGTAGCTACTGAGCGGGTAAATGTCGGCAAACTTCGCTGACAGCGGAGCAACGTCTTCGTCGTCACTACAGCTGAGAAGAGCAGAGGGTCAGCGGGCAGGGTGGTGAGGGCCTGACCACCGGCCCCCGTCACGCTGAGCCCCAGGCGGCACCACCGAGACAGCCGTCCCACGGTGGCCAAGGACGGACAGAGCCCTCTGGGAACAGCTGCTGCGGACGAGCCGGCCACTAGCCAGGACAGGCATTGCAGACGCACTGCGGCCTGGAGGCTGGCTCGCATGACCCCTGCATGGCAAAGCACCAATGCGAGGGCAAGGGCCCGTGCGCCTCGCAGACCCTCCGCTCCAAGGCGGTGTCTGGGACAGGCACTCGAGGGCACCCACCACAGCAGGGCAGACAGTGGAGGCCTCCCCGGCGCATGGTTTCCCGGAGCACGGAGCTCCCGGTTCGGAGGCAGCGGCTCAAAGCCGGCCATAGGAGAAGAGGCCCCGTGCCTCGGGAGGTGGAGGCCTGGCAAGGCAACCTCCCAAGAGCTGCTGTCCGGGGCCACAGGCGGGAGACACCAGGTGTCTTTCCCATTGCAGGAACAGGGTCTGCCCGGTCCAGGAAGCACAGGACACCCACGGGCGGGGCCAGCCCCGGGCGTCGGGCACCCAGAACTGCCAGTGCAGCCGCGGCATCCCTAGGCCAGCCTGAGCGCCACGTGCCCGAGAGTGCAGAGGGTGAGCGTGCCGAAGGGAAGCCTCGCCACTGGGGCCGTCCGGAGAGGGGAGAGACCCCGGGCCAGGCCATGTGGTCTCAGGGCCACGTCAGCCCCAGCTCGTGTGCCTGTGCGGCCTGCCGCCAGGACCCGCCACCAGGCCACACCCACTCCCGAGACCTGCCCGCAGAGCCACGACTTACAAGGCCGGCGCAGAGCCCCCACCCGGGAGGAGCAGCCGGGGGTGTGGCTGGGCTGCGAGTGGGGAGCTAGAGCCTGAGCCTGAGCTCGCCGGCGACGTGCTAGGCGGCCGCATCTCCGAGAGGCGGTCGGGAGGGGCGTCCACGTGCAGGGGCAGCTGGTGGGCGTGGACGTCGCCGGCGACGGGGGGTTCCACGATGCCGCAGGTGAGGATGTGTGAGAGGCTGCAGTCGTCGCAGGCACATCTGCTGGGGATGGGGACGGTCAGCGAGATGGCCCCAGGGTGGTCGTGCGCTCCCTGGGCCAGGGCTCACCTTCTCCGGTAGCTGCAGTTGGGGCAGTCGGGCAGGCTCAGCCGGGAGGACAGCACGTGCCGCATGGCGTCCGTGAAGTTGTTCTCCGTGGCCACCGCCTTCTTGCTGGTCAGCTGGAAGAAACAGCATGGGTCAACCCCAGCCGGGCCGCCAGCACAGCGCTTCCGTTGCCACCTCCTGTGACGGGCTGGGGCGGGGGCAGCGGGCAGGGATGGCATGTGCACAGAATCAAGGGGAGCCAGTTTCCAAACAAACCCCGCGCCCTGAGAACTCAGCCCAGGCCCAGGTGGGCTGCAAGCTGGTCTTAAGGAGGCCTGGCTGGTCCACACTGGGACTCACTCTGCGCCGCACCCCCAGAATGGAAACTGGGGGCTGGGGGCTCACGGGGTGCTGGGGGCGGACGTGGGAGCTACAGGAGCCGGGGTCCTCCTTGAGGAATGTAGCCGCGGCAGAGAACAGCTGTCTGGAATGAGCACTCGGTCCTGGGGGTGCGCACGTGCTGTGGCCGGATGGAGCAGGAGCCCCCCTCTCCTCGGGCCCCGCACCTGCTCCTCGAGGAGCCGCCGCTGTCTGAGCAGCTCCCAGTCTCCCGTCAGCAGGCGCTGCTTCGTCTTCTCTGTCATCTGCAGGGGGAGCAGCCTCAGTGCCCGCCGGGGAGCGAGGGGGAGGGAAGTTAGGAGACCCCCCGGGGCGCGCGGGCAGGGTCTGCAGGCACAGAGAGGGAGAGCAGGAGGCCGCCCTCCCTGTGGGGACGCGCTGCGGGGGGTGTGGGGGCCCCGGGGTCGCGTCCCGAGGCAGCCAGCGGGACGGAGGCGGACACGCTGAGCACCAGGGTGCCCCCGGGCCCACACGTGCTCTCAGGGCCCGGAAGCTGAGGGAAGGGAATCAAGACCAGGCTGAAGCGCGCCATATTTGGGGGGTGAAATGAGCACTGCCGGGGTGTGCACAAACGCATCCTTATAATGACAAAAGGAGCAGCTGCTGAAGCGGTGAAACGGGACCTTCCTAATCACCGGAGGAAAGTGGGGGGCACCGCAGCAGACACGCTCAAGGACGGGAAGAGCAATTCCATGAAACAGAACACACGTTCGAAAAAAATTTCAGCAATTTAAACTACTGAAGACGAAGTCACGGTTAAAATCACAGTCGGTTTAGATACAAACGACCGTGAGAGGTCAACGAATCAATTTTAAAGACGGGCCCACACGCAGAAAGAGACGTAGGGGCCGGAGGGCATCTGTGAGCAAGCCCGACAGCCAGATGTGGAGCGCGCAGGAGGGGGAGAAGCTCATGGGTACGCAGGGGCCTGGGGAGACAGAGAGGCAGTTGGCTAGCGGAACGAGGCGCTGGTGTGCAGACATCTTCCCAGCTGAGCTGGGGTGAAGGGACTGGGGGGCCAGCCGGGCGAAAGGGCAGACACACATGGGGGCAGATGCGTGGGGGGGGGGGCTCTCTTTAAACCACAGGAGAGTAGCCACAGTCCACACATCCCGCTGGGCCCGTGCTGCGCTTTTTGGAGCTGAGTCAACATTAAGTTCTGGGGGTGCCACCACCATCCAGACTCCTCGGCAGCTCCGACAGCCCAGTGGGGAGGAGACTGCCGCCCTGCCTGACCAGGACGCCTGAGGAAGCACCGGAGGCATGTCCAGGCCCAGACAGCCCCCGCGCCCCACGGCCCACACCTGCTCGTCCACGTAGGCGTCGATCCGCTGCTGGCACCGCAGCCACTCCTCGGCCACCCTGCGCAGCTCCTCCTCTGAGTGTTGGAAGCGCCGCAGCAGCGCACTGTAGGCATCCTCGCTGCGGGCGTCCCGTGCAGAGCTCCCCAGCCTACAGAGAGGGGCCGCTCAGCCAGGGCCAGCCGGGGGTGTCTGCCGGCCCCCAGGCGCACTGGGCAGTACCTGCCTCAAGGCCAGTGCCCCCGGGACACCAGGCTGTTTGGGGGCGCACGGGGGATGAAGCCAGGACCGGGCTTCTCGGTGCATGGGACACATATGGACACCCCAAGGAAGTGGGTGTCCCCTCCCTGGCTGCACCCAGCGCCTGCTCAGAAAGCTGGCGCGAGGCAGGTGACGACGAAACAGATGGGGACAAAGACGGCACGCAGGTGGACAACGGCAAAGGCACCTGCACTTCCGACAAGCAGGGCGGGGCCGGGAGGCACCTGTAGAGGAGGGCCAGGGAGGGCGGGGCCTGTCACCTCTAGTATCTGAGCAGACCGTCGGCTGCACCAGGACGACTGCTCCAGGGATGCCAGAGTCCAGCACGCGTGACTGCTGAGAGCACAGGCTGAGGCGTGGGGCCTCGAGCGCTGCCGGCGTTAGAAGCCGAAGCTGCGCACCAGGAGGCGACAGGCACGTGGCGCCCCAAGCCTGAGAACACAGCCGTCCACGGGACCTCGGAGCAGCTCCCCAAGTCTGGGTTTTCCCACCTGCTCCTACTGTGTGCAGCCAAGCGGGCTCGCCAGGCAGACCCCACACTTCCCCAAGTGGCCTCCCCAGGGCAAGACGGGCTCTCCCCTGGTTTAGGTCATTGGACAGACCCCACAGGGGTGCTGGGCCCCCAGGGCACCATCTGTAGGCATAGAGCTGGCCGATGCGAGGAAGTGGGACCGAGACCCCAAGAGGACAGAGCTGAGCTCCAGCATGGCAGGGAGTGTCCGCAGAGTCCAGCAGCAGAGTGAGGGACTGAGCAAACGTGGTAACAGACACGGGGAGCACACAGGCCTCGATGGCGCCATGTGTCGTAAGTGGTGTGTGTATGTGACCCACTAACGACAAAGAAAATGACATAACACCTGTTCCAGTAATTACAAGCCCAACTGAAATTTCCCTAGAACTAAAGTTACACACACACACACACACACACACAAGCACAGAGTAAGGCCCAGCTAGAGACAACAGCTAAAGTCCCACAACCACAGACCAGCAGGGGCCTCCTGGTGGGTCAGGGCATGGGGTTGCTGACATGCAGCCACGGGAGCTGGTCCGGGTCCAGCATGCTGAGTGACAGCAGGCACCAGGGAAGCCCAGGTGGTGCCCAGAACCCCCCACCAGGAGAGCAAAGGCCCCCTGAGGTGGCACTGGACTAGAGCCTGACCCTGGAGAGCAGCCCCTCCCCACCCCGACATGCAAAGGCCAGGGCCAGGCAGGCCTGGGGCTGGCCCAGGGGACCCTGCCGCCGCCCCCGTCCCACACTTGTCCAGGGAAGGACCCGCACACCGGGCATGGGGCAGCGCGGGCTCAGGCCAGGCCTGCGCTCAGGACAAGTACCTGATCTGCGACACCAGCGCCGGCAGGTTGCTCTGGAGAAGAGGCTCCGAGAAGACCAGGTTCTCAAACAGGTGCTTGTTGTGCAGCTCCCACGTCACCTGGAACTTCTTGAGGTGCTCGTTCTCCTGGGCACACGGAGAGAAGACCCAGGGCCTCAGTATCCCAGCGCAACCGGAACAGCCTAGCCACACACCCGCAGCGGCCCCACCCGAGCCCACCACACGTGAGGGACACGTGGGGACAGGACCGGGGAGCTGGTGCTCGCTGCTGGCCTCTCCCCGCCCACCCCACACCGGCTTGACCACAGAGCGGACCCTCAGCTGCACGTTCCTGCGAGGAGTTTCTCTGCTGGTGAAGCTCCGCCCCCCCCCCCCCCCCCGCTCCCATGGGCCCTCACACAAGCTCTGGGAGTGTCCTGGCAGCACAAGGCATGACCTCTGCGGAGAAGTCACCCGGTGAGGGCAGACACTGCTGCTCCGATCCGGGCGGCTCAATCGGCCTAGAGAGGTGAGCCCATGTCTACACTGCAGATGCCCCGCCTGGTCCCTGGAAACCCCAGGTGCAGGCTGAGTGCACACAGTGGAGGCTCAGCTCACGATCACACGTGTGCGTGGGGCAACAAGTGCATGGCCACGCCCCGTGCAATCCAGCCCTCCGAGGAGGCAGAGCCAGCAGCTCTGCCCCCGCCCGCCAGGGTCCAGCCACCTGTGCCATGCGCAAGTATGCACCCCTGCATGGAGGCTCACCAAGCCCTGCCCGCCAGGGTCCAGCCGCCTGTGCCATGCGCAAGTATGCGCCCCCGCATGGAGGCTCACCAAGCCTGTGCCACCACAGCTGCAGCACTGGTCCTCCCAGCCACGGTGGGTGGGCGTTGGCCTGTCACCCAGGAACAAGAGGGCAATGACACAGGGTGAGCGCCAGGTGGGACAGGAGAATAGACCAAGAGTCCAGGCCAGGCGCTGCGCCGGGCGCCAGCAGGGGGCGGGACAGAGGAGCAGGGCAGCCGGTTTGTATCCATCACCACAGCAGAGGGCACGCCGGACCTGGCAGCCACTGGCCAGGCCAGGCCAGTTCAGGAGGATCCAGGCCTAGCCTGACCTCCTCATCTTTGGGCAATTTGGTGGGCACTGCCCACCAGCCAGGAGAGCCCAGACACAGAGGCAGCACCCTTGCAGGACTAGAGCTGCAGCTCTGCCCTCCGGGAGCTTGCACATGGAGGTGACTGGGTGAAGGCTAATTGACGATGAGTGCAGGTGTTTAGCACTGAACGTGTGCGGAAGCCCTGTGGGTCTGGAGCTGCTGGCCCACGTGGGCCGCAGACAGCAGAAGTCAGGCGGGCTGGCATGTGGGGACGGGTCTGCAGGACACCTGAGGCCACAGTTGCTGCCAGGGGAGGCCCGTGCCTCCCCTGTCCCAGCCAGAAGCAGCAAGAGCCTTTCTACCAAAACCCGTCTCACTTCCCACATTCCACTGCAAAAAGGTTTTGGGGGTTTGGAAGAGGAAATGTTTAGGATCAAGTCCTACAAAAGACCTTAGGAACTAGCAGGGTGGTAGGGGTTCTGGTCTGACGGGTGGAAATTCAGAGTTCACGATTACATCCTGGCGAGGCACTTCCTGGTAACCAGAGATGTGTGTCTAGACCCAATTTTAATATTTAATACAGACAGAAAGAGCGGGGCCGCATGACCCTGCTTGCTCCACGGAGCAGGATGGAGCGCCCCATACAAGTGTGTTTCTTTGGAAATGAGCAAATGTGCCCCCAGCCCACAGGTGCGAGCTCAGGGGCCAGGCGTGGGCCGGCCGCGGGGTGGGCGTGGGGGTGGGGGTGGGCCTGGGGCCAGGGCCAGCCACGGGGAGGGTACAGGAAGGGGCTGGCTGTCCTAAGGGCAGCCTGACCAGCGGAACCCAGATGTGGACGCAGGAAGAGTGCATGCTGCCCTGCGTCCTAGCCCAGAGGCTTCCTCACACCAAAGAGCCTTTCTGCGGCACCGGGCAAAGAGGTGCAGGCACGCAGAGCAGCCTGCTGCCCATACCACGTTGGCCCTTGGAGAGAAGACCTGCGTGGCCAGGCCGCTGTCCAGATGGCCAGCATGGTGGCGGCTGGGCACACACCCCAGCAGCAGTGCTGCAGCAGCTCAGATGGGCTGACCCACACAGGCCCATGTGGGGGGCTCACTAGGGAGCTCACAGGAGGACACCCAGGGACCCAGGGTGCTCCGAGAGGCTGTCAGCTGCGACGTCCCTCCCTTTCCCACACACACACCTGTGTGCGACGGGATTCTCTCCCGGGCGATCGACCACCAGCACCCACGCAGACAGGTGGAGACAGAGGCCCGGGAAGCCGGCCTCCACCACCAAACCAGCGCCACAGAGACCTGCAAACTCGTGGGGCCTCGCTCTTCCCCGAGTGTGCTTTGCTTTGGAAGAGTTTTTATTTCAAAGTATCTAGCGGGGTTGACTTTTAAATGACTGAACGCCATTCTGAAATGTCTTAGCCTTGGTCCGACCCAGCAGCCAGGCCCTCCTCACACAGGTTGCAGTTTTTCAAGAAGAAGGTTTGTGGTGACCCTTGACGCGTCCCTGGAGCCACCCCCGGTAACAGGGCTGCTGTGTCCGTGTCACATGTGAGCGGGCGTGCTGCTGCCTCCAGGCACAGTAGTGCACACATGGAGTAGCGCAGCTGGCTCCGGCCGCACGGCAGTGGGCAGATCCGACCTGGGCGCCTGTGCTGACGAAAGCCCTTTGGTGTCTGCAGGTTTTAAGTTGAAGGGCTCCAAGTCCAACAGTCCTGAGAGCCGCTGCTGAGACAATGAGCTGAGCTGGCTGCCTGCTGAGGCTCGGGTCTGCACGCTGCACGCAGGGGAGGCTTCTGAGCTGCACGGGAATCTGGGCGGTGCTGTCAGAATAGGAAATCCTGTCTGTTCTCACCGGTGTGCCAGTGGCGCTGTGGTCAGGTAAGACAGTGCCCAGCCCTCCAGGGGACATCTGCAGGTTGCTTTACATTTTGCTGACCTTGGTCCACTGCAGAGAACTCCTGGACTTGAGAGGTCTATATGACACACAAGCCCACGTGGTACTCTGCCCACGAAAGTGCTGGGAGGGGGTACACCCCTGTCACAATGCAGCCCCCTGGGGCACAAGCCCCTCACGCTCATGGGAGACCATGACTGCCTGCGAACCCAGCACTGCCTGCTCGCCTGGGCCGAGCTGCCTTTCTCCCCGGGCCCAACCTGGCTCCCTGGGTTCCTCACTGAGGGGCCTGGCCTCAGGCCACTGCAGCCGCGAGTGTCAGAGACGGCACTGCTCCAGTTCATGGGGTCTAGGAGCCCAGCTGTCCCCCTCCGAGGCCACTGCTCAGGCTGCCCCCTCAGCCGTCCACTAGAAAGCAAGTCACTGTCTCCAGTGCAGAGAGAGGGAGCTTGACCTCTGGCCAAAGTGCTCCACTTTGTGTGTCGTGTGTTTTCGCTCAAAGCACAAGAGGCATCTTCTCGCGAAACAGCTCCGGTGACGTGTGGCAGGCACCCCAAGGTGCGGGAGCTCTGAGGTCGTGCAGTACGCAGGGGAGAGCCATGGCATGGCGGCTGTGGGGCCAGCACCCATGGCCAACGTCACTTGCAGAATATGTCTGCAGGCTCCCCGGGCCCCCAGGCCTCTCAGTTTTAGAAACACAGGGGCGCCAGTGATCAGGAGTACGGAGAGACCCACTGGAACCAGCCCCGCGAAGCAGCCCTTCCGAGGGCTGGGGAGGCGGCCGACAGCGCCCCTCGGCCCCTTGCCTCCTGCCTGTACTCCTGTGCTGGCCTCCTTCTGCCCACTGGTGCTAATGGCCCAGGGGAGCCACAGCGCAGGCGCACTCTCCTCCCGTCCCTCTGGACTGGCGCCCATGGCCGCCCCACTCCCCCACAGCCCTCTAGGCCAGAGCAGCAGAGGCAGTGGAGGAACCAGGGGCTGCCACCGTGGGCACCGAGAGGAGGGGCAGGGCCAATGGCAACCACCGGGCGTGGGAGCTCAGCGGGCATGGGCGGCGCGGCGCTTACCAGGGTGCCCAGGAAGGTACTGATGGTGCGCGCCGCTTGGCACAGGGCGCCGTACTCCTCCAGGAGCAGGGAGATGAACTGGTGCGCCTGCGGGGGGCCCTGCAGGCCCGTGGGCGCCTTCACCCTGGACGCTGCCGACAGCTGATGCAGGAGCCGTACCTTCATCTCCAGCACGTACTCTCGGGCCTGCTGCTCCAGCCGCTGGTACAGCTGGTAGGGGTCCTGCTCGCAGAGCCTGCAAGGACAGGGTGAGTTATTAGGCCGCCTCCTGCTAGGGGTCCTGTGACAGAGCTCCAGGAGGACTGTGGTCAGGCACGGCCAGGGAGAGGCACCACCCCCACCAAGGAATAAGTCGAAGCTTCCCGAAGACACCGGAGGCTTCTTGGGGACTCCTGCAGGCAAGTCTGCCAGGCAAGCACCACTGTCAGGTCACAGCCAGGGCAGGCCCCGCCCTCAGCCTCAGCAGCCCCCCCACTGGCCAACCTGGCCTTGGAGGGCGGGACGGTGACTGCCAGCGCCACCTCGGGGTGCACAGAGGCCCTCTGGGTTGCACTCCTTTCGCGATCAAAAGAAATTCAGGGATGTAAAACTTTCTTAAATGATCCCACCCAAACCACAAGCATACAAAGTTAAACCGGGGAGCTGATAGGCAGGAAACACACATCCATGCCCCTCAGCAGGCCGCAGAGGCGGAGGCCCTCCAGGTGCGGACACGCCCAGGCCCGGGGCTCAGGAGCCTCCAGGCGGCAACCCCGGCGGGAAGTGACCAGGACGTCCAGATGCCAGCTCGCAGACAGGCTGCACGCCTCACTGCAGCTCCTGACCTAGGACAGCCCCGTCCCCTCTGGGCTCCACATGAGGTTGAACGAGAACCCAAGGTGTCCCTGCACCCGCCACACCCCACCAAGACCGAGACAAGACCTAGCAGCGTGACCGGGGCCAGGATGCTGGGGGGTCCCACTAGGGCCGTGTGCTAACCCCTCAGATGGATGCGCTCACCTGCGCGCAGAGGCTGTGACCCCAGCCGGCAATGCAGGGTCCTCTGGACCCACACACTCGCCCGGAGGGGGCCAGCCCAGGCCCCCGCAACAGCGCCCCTCGCTGGCAGGACCCCGGCACCTCCCTGCTTCTCAGTGTGTGGGACCCAACACACTTCATTTCTCTGTCCACTTCCGCAGCTTACAGACTCAGTGAATGACCGTGTGGCACTTCTGCATGTAGATTTCTAAAAAGTGACGTGACACAGAGGCAGGTGTGGCTGCCCTCCACCACACGGACATGCCAAGACCCGTGGGGCCAGCGACAAGACCGGGGCTGCGTGCCATCTGCGTGTGGGCAGCACGTGCCCACGGACAAAGGGACTCTGGCAGCGGCAGGGACCTAATGGCAAAGGGGGGCAAAGAGCAAGAGCGATGGATCTGGGTGGGTGGCCTCTGAGAAGGTGGCTCTGAAGACTAAGGTGGACGATGGAAGGGAGAGAAAAATCCCTCCCGAGAAGGGGAAGAACATTCTGGATAGAGAGGAGAGCACTGCACGGCCCCGGGCAGCAAGGAGGCGGCTGCACAGGAGAACAGGGAGAGGAGGGAGGCGGAGCGCGGGCACCGGGCTGGGCAGCAGAGGACAGAAAGGACCGGCAGACCGCGAGGGGGCGGGGGGTCTTCCCGAGCCTGACAGCGCCTCTCGCGCAGAGTGGGAGCAGCCGCCTCCAGGCTCGCCGTCCCCATGGCCAGTCTCCACAGCGGCCCCACACGTGCTGCCAGAGCCCTGCCGGCGGCCTCTGGCTGTGGGCACGCCACCGCCGGGCACAGCAGGCGCTGTGTTCCTTCTGAACACGCCCTGGGGGCCTCACTTGTCAGGTGGGCACGCGGCCAGATGTCTCACACCGCGCCCGTAGGTCCAGGTGGAGCCCTGAACACCCCCGCGCCGACCACCGCTCCTGTCTGCAGGACACGCTCGCTGCACGGAAACAGGGTTTATAAATGCCCCAAAGGCGTGGCCTTCGCCATGTGAGAAAGAGAAAATAAGAACCAATCCATGAAATGTCTGGCTCAGAATTGTTGCTTTTATTTGTAACATTTCGAAAGAGACGCCACAAACCATAGGGAAGGATAAAAATTAGTCCACCTCAAGCGGTGCGGTCACTGGGCCTGGGCGCATGCCGAGACGCCCCGGGCTGCCGGCCGCCTCCGCCGGTCCCTGCGCCTGGCAGACGGGTGCAGGCTGGGCTGGGGAGAGGCCTCCTCCCGGCGCAGCCAGCCCCCATGGCGCAGCCTCCAGCCCCACGCAAGGCGAGACCAGCCCCCACGCGCTCCTTCTGGCTCAGGACACCAGCTTCTCATCAGGACAGCGGCGAGGCGCCACCCAAGGGTGTGCTCTGGCCAGGCTGTCCTCTGGAGCCCTGCCCTGCTCAGGGCCCCGCCACCCGCTGCCCACCGGGCTGCCCCACAGTGGGAAATGCAGGCCACGCACCTGTCCACGAGTGCCTTCACCCCCTCCTTGTCGGGCACAAGGGGCTGGTCCTGGTCATCGGCCAGCGGGGTCCCCGCTTGCCGGTAGATGCAGCGGACCGTGTAGCGCACCTCAGACCAGTAGTTCTGCAGCTGCTGGGGCTCCCGGTCCGGCTCGGCCGGGCTCTCCCTGCGAGGCAGCGGGAGGGTCAGTGCAGGGGGCCAGCCTGTACCCCCACCTCGCCTGTCTGGACCCTCCCAGTCCGGCTCCCGCCTCCTGGCTCAGCTCTCATCTGGGCACCCCCAGCCGCCTGCTCTCTGAGACCATTGTCTCTGTGAGGGTCCAGCCCTGCCCACTACTGTCCACAACAGGCTGCGCCCTCTCTTCTCCTCCCCGACCCGGCCCCGGGAGGGGGCTGCTGGGTACGCAGGGCTCCCCCTTCCTCACTGGGCTCTGCTGTCACGGGAGGGCTCTCAGGAGCCGGCACGCAACCCGCCCTCTGCCAGGCAGCTGCAGGGAGGGGCGCGGCTACTCACCTGCGCTCGCTGCAGGCCTCACACGCGCAGGCTGTGTCTGTGGGGCTGCCCAGGCCAGCTGAGGGCAGCGTGGGTGCCCCGAGCGCCAGCCTCCCTCCGGCCTCCGGCTGCGCGCTGCCCAGAGGGGAGTGGAGGAGGAAGTCTTGGCCCTGCATCCAAAAGAGAAGGCGGCAGTCTGGTTACAGCCAGCACTCCCAGCACGAGCCGCTCGGAAAGGCCCCTGAGGAGACATGGGGCCACGGGACAGAGAGCGAAGGTGTCCCGACGGCGTGGCCCAGCCGCCCGGTCCTGTCTGACGCTCCAGACCTGGCCTGCAGTCACTGCTTCTTACCTTCCGACAGTCACAGAAAAACCACGAGAGGCCCTTCAAGGACGCTCTTCCCTTCCTCAGAAAAGAGCGATCCTCACCCCAGCATCATCGTCGGCACCCGCAATGACCCCCTGGCGGGCATCCCTCAACATAACACACCCTCCCCTGGATGGTCCTGGGAGAAACCCGGCGGTCACTGCAAGTCCAGCGCCTGAGGCCAGGGCGAGGACGACAGGAAGGTGTGAGCCTGCGCCCAGCAGCCCCAAAGGGAGGGAAGTGCCGTCGAGGTCGCTCCTGGTCTTAGCTGTCTCAGGACAGGCTCGTGGCCACCCGCTGGCGCCTGTCCTGGACTGACAAGGACCATGATCTGGACTGAGGCTCCTGGCTCAGCGTCCAGGACCAGTGGGCACAGTGGCACGAGGCGCCTCTCCCGGCTCGCGGTCAGCGCCACAGCAGCAGGGGGCTGCTGAGGTAACCCCGGCCGGCTGCCCCAGCACAGTCTTCCAGCCCAGCCCGAGACTGAGGCCCGTGGCCGGGGGAGCCCAGACGCCCGGTAGCCTGTGCCCTCCAGGGTCTGTCACGTGTCCCTTGCGCTTGGAGACTCCGGTACCTGACTGGGAGACGTGGACACAGAGGGAGAAGAGCAGCTGGGGCCCTGTCGACAAGGGGCATCCCATGGGGGCCAGGGAGGGAGCTCTCTCGAAGTGGCTGGGTGGCCTGGCAGAGCCCTCCGGACAGGTTCCTGTTGTGCAAGCGGACGAGGGACTGCAGGCCCAGGCCGCTTGGGGTCACGGTGCCAGAGTCCCCAGCAGACAGTCCACTGCCCAGCGCTGACCAGGCCCAGGAAGACCTAAAGTAGGACTCTGATGAGCCAGAGCCACGGCGGCCAGCCAGGAAGAGCAGCGACTGCTCCCCTCGCTGAGCCACGTTTTGAAAGAGTCGGTTTTCATCTAAAAATACGCTACCGACGTGCACTGTGTCAGTCACCACGTGGGCCCCCGCACTCGGCACTTGCGCAGGCACACGCCCCAGAGCGCCCCGCCTGCAGGCTGGGGGCAGCACGCCGCGCACAGGAATGAAAATGAACAAAATTAATCGGACACAAAGGGGCACGTGGGGTGAAGGACAGCTTCAGGGAGGGACTAACTGGTCACAAAGGCAGAGGGGCGGTCCCGGGCGTGGGCAGAGCACGGCCTGCAGGCCGGGGCCGGGAGGGACACCAGGCAGGGCTTGGCCTGTGGCCCGTGTGCTCGCAAGGTGAACCGGAACCAGTCGCTGCCACAGCAAATCAAAGCTTCCTCCCCCCGCGAGGAAGCGACGAGGCGTCCCCGCCCAGGAAACCAGAGCACCCGGGGCCGGGGGACGGGGCCCGCGGCCAGAGGAGCAGCCACATGGCCTGGGCTGCTTCGACCCTCTTCTCCCACACGGCCCTGGCGCCTGCAGCAAAAGGGACGCCTTCACGGATGAAGAAAGAAAAGAAAACCAGACTGCCCGGGAGCTGGGGCTCCCGCTCAGAAGCGCACCCGAGCGTGGGTGGGGGGAGAGCGCGGGCGGTGGCTGGGGCTGACCAGGTGGACACCTCCAGGGCAGGGGCGTGGGGACAGACTCAAGCACGCAAACCCCAATCTCCACCCGCCGCAGCATGAAATTAAAAGTCCGACGTCAAAGCAGCCCGGCAGACGGGCGCCTGCACGCTGGAACACTGGCCGACCGCTCCGGGCCGAACACGCGACGAGGAAAAGGAAGTATCACCGTCCAACCGCCGTGCCCAGCGCCTCCAGCTCAGGGGCAGGAATGCGCTGTCTCAGCCCTCTGGGGCGGGCGAGGGCCCGGTCAGCAGGGAAGGAGGGACATGCAGGGGGTCCATCTCCAGGTCTGCACCCGAAGACCCCTCGGGTGCAGGGCACGGAGGAAGAGCAAAGGGCTGACCAGTGACAAGCTCCTAATGCCTCATGGGTCTGGAGAGACCGCCGTAGCTGGCTCCTGGAGGGTGGGCAGAGACGCCAGCCCTGCCAGGGGCCCCCGGCCTGCCAGCACCCCACCTTGCAGGCACACACCCCCTCTCACCGGCAGACACAGGAAGACAAGCTGCCACCCTCCAGGAGACGCCGGAGACTCGGACACTGCCACCCACACCTCTCTGCCCGGCTGCGCCTCAGCCTGTGGTGCCCGCCAGCCGCGCACCCTCCCGCCTCTCCCGCCCTGGCGGTGGAGGAAACCAGGAAAAGGAGAGACTTTAAAATCTAAAAAGCTACTTCTTGAAAAGGCAAAATAGACTTCTATCAAGACCGCTTGAAAAAGGAAAGACAGAAGAATATGCGGAAGACAGAGTCGTGCCGGCAGAGAGCCAAGGAGCTCAGGACAGCACAACCTCGCCGTGGGAACGCCCACGGCAATGTGCCCCACAGCCAGGCTCACTGAGGCAGGCGCGGGAAGCTTTCTCATGCACAAAACCGGACGGGAGGCCATGATTTGCACAGGGAACGTGCAGGCCGAGGAGCGTGGGCAGTGGTGATGCGGCAGGGAGGGCGCGGCCAGACGCAGGCTCTAAGACCCGGAGCCTTGGGCACCGCCGCCTGGGGAAGAGGCCCGTAGTTAGGGTGGCCATGCAGGCCGGGCCGGGCAAGGGGCAGGTCTGCGACCCCTCGGGTGCAGGAGTGCAAATGGTCCTTCTGTGGACAGAGGGCCAGTACCCAGCGCTCAGAGGATGAGGCGGCAGGGCACAGAGGAAGAGCAAAGGGCTGGCCAGTGACAAGTTCCTAATGCCCAGTATAGTGAGTAATAAGGCCTTGCTGGGTCTGACCCGAGGACCCGCAGGTCAGGGGCACAGCACAGCCCTCTCAGGGAACCGAGAAACATCCACAGGGAGCAGAAGGACCGAGCCCCCGCCCCCCGCAGGGCAGAGGGCCCAGACCCTCCTGGCCCGCACAAGTACCACAGCGAAGGGACTCTGGGGCAGCTGGAGCCATGCCAGGCCTCTGGGAGCAAGCTCCTGCATGAGGAGAGAAGGCGGCCGTCCCCAGCACCAACGGGCAGCGGGGCACGGTCCTGGAGTCGGCGGCCCCCGCACAGACCCGGGCCCCAGCACAAGGGCAGGCAGGCAGTGGAGCGAGAGAGGCAGAGGGAAGAAGCACCGGCTGGGGAACGCCGGGAACACCAGTGGCCGGAGGCCTCAGTGGACTCCAGAGTAAGCCGAAGTCCGGTCAGAGAGTGGCCAGAGTGCAGCCCGGGGGCGAGAGCAAGCTGCGCTGCCTGTGCTGCCCATTAGCCCTGACGAGGGCCGCCGTCCACCCAGCTCCCTGCCCATTTATCCTCTGCCTCAAGCATCCGGGTAACTGATGAACGCCAGGCAAAACCCGGTGAGGAAACTCACCCAAACCACTGCCCTCACGGAGTTTCCAGAAAACTTGTGAAACAAACAGGTCAGCGAGAGGACGAGCAGGGGAGGGGGACACGCAGCAGGGGGCGGGCTGAGCCGGAACCCACTTCCATGTGGACAAACAGCCAGGTTTGGGGGTCAGCTACTAAAGCACTCCCAGAGAACTGTGCCTGAGCTGGGGTGCCGCCTCCAGGACACCCTGGAATACAAGCCAGTGGCGGCCAGGAAGGGCAGAAGCGGCCAGAACAGCACCAGCGCCACACAAGGCTTGGCGGCGCTGCCAGCCGTGGGCTGGGGGGGGGGGGGGTTGGAGGGCGCCACGCGGGGCGAGACCCAGGGAGACCACAGCTCGGAGGGCAGGAACAGGGGCTGGGGCGGGAGCCACAGGCCAGCTACGGGGCAGGGGAGACCCGGACTTGAGAGCCGCCCCCGGAGGGTACCTCAGGAGCGCCACGGCACTGGGGCTTGTCCAAAACAAACACACGAGGAGCCTCCTCCTTTCAGGAAACTTCGGCCATTCCCCAGCCTGAAAAAGCTCAACCCCGCCGGCGGACGGTCCTGCTCACGCCCCCTCTCCCCGGCCCGCCAGAGCCGCCACACCCTCCCGCTCAGGCAGGGGGCCCAGGGGCAGCAGCCGGGGCGGGCACTCACCGCCGGCGGGTCCAGGCTGCCCAGCCGCTCTTCCTTCTCCACCGTGCGCCGGCAGCCCGGGCACACCCACAGTGGCAGGTGCAGGGCACCGCTGCCCTTGGCGAGCGCCAGCTTGCTGGAGGCCTTCACCCCGCTCTCCAGGAACGAGGGGTCCTTCCGCTCGCTTCTGCACAGGAGGCAGCAGTCCCCGGCGGGGTAGGGTGGTGCTCGGTGATTCAGCCCAAAGCTGAAAGGGGCCTGAAAACAGAAAAATTCACTTTCAAAACACAATCCGTGGGCCAGGACACCTGCAATAAACATGCTGCTGTGAAGGTAAAGTGCACACGTGTGTTTGCACGGACACGCACAAAGAAGGGGGGGTTCCCAAATGCAACCGTCTCTCATGTTCCAGGAACGCAAGCCCTTGAAATGGGCAGAGATCCCCTAAGAGCATCTCGGGTAGCCAGAAAACAGTCCCCCGACCCACCCCTGGCCGCCTCACTCCCCACAGCGGGTGGGCGGCTGCCACTCGGCTCTGGAAAGCGCCAGCATGCTGGCACAGCAGCGGCTCCAAGACCTCAGGCTGTGCGGGCTAGGGCACCTGGCGGGGCCGCGGCGGGCAGAGTGGGGCGAGGCAACCGGTGGGCTCTGGCAGCAGGAGCCCCTCAGCCGGTGCCCCCGAACCACAAGAAGCACCGAGATGAGGAATGTCGTGCCACCCGGCCAGGCGAGGCCCAGGGTCACTCACTCCGAGGGGCCAGTGCAGGACGCCAGGGCCCCCACCCCGGCCCGCCCTGTCAGGCACCAGCCAGGCACGGGGCGCTGCCGAGGGCACCGGACCCGAGCCCCACAGCATCTGGGCAAACACAGGGTACGCCGAGCAGGTGCCGCTTCCTGCGCGGCTTCTACGGAGTTGTGTGGTGGTTTCCAAAGAGAAACTGCAAATTCAATAGGAAAGACTCAGACTTACTATGCAAAGACCCCACAGGCACGTTTCTTCCAGATGTGAAGAAATCACGGCCCGTGAAGGTGCAAACACAAGGTGCGACAGCTCCTGGGGGACGGCAACGCCCCAGCTCTCACAGCTCAGTGAAAGCAGAGCTGTCGTCAGGCACACAGCCAGGGAGCCAGCGGCACCCCCTCCTCCACCCCCCTCCCCTGGTACCCCTTCGGCCTCAGGACCGCCCACCCACAGGGGCTGCGCTGCCCGTCACCCCAGGGCCCAGTGCCTGGGCCGCTGACGTCACCAGTCACGTCCCCTTGAACTGCTTACGAGACGCGGACACCAGACTCGTGGGTTGGGAGTTGGGGCAAGACTGCCTGACGTTTTCATTAACACCTGGTGACACTCAGGCCCACATTCACTCCCAGCGCACGCTTAGCAGTTTATATCCAAACTGCGGCTTCTGGCGCCGTGGCGCTGCATCACGAAGCGCTCTTTTTGTGGCTAACGCGAAAGTAAGATCTGTTAGGGTTTACCTTCAGGTCACATGTCAACAGAACTAGAGGAAGCCGAAAGGAAATGGCCAGCGCGGCAGGCCCGCGGTGTCACAGGAGCGGCGCCCACCCATGGGCTCCTGCGGGACGGGCCGGCCGTGAGCAGCGTGGGTTACCCTGCGACTAGCTGACGGGATTCCCTCCAGACAGCCACCACGCGTGAAGCTGCCCGCTCCGCCGCAAGGCAGCCCCTCTCCGGTGCCCCCGGCCCCCGCACCAGGCTCCAGCGCGCCTCATGGATGCGGCCTCTCCACCGCCCGCTGCATCTCAATCTCCGTGCTCTGGGAGCCCAGCGGGACCCGAGGCTGAGGCCGAGCCCAGGGCCTCGCCCGCTCCTCCGCACAGGACCCCGGGCACAGGCGACCCAGCCCGCCTCCCTCCCTCCCTGGGGCCTCGGCTTCTGGCAGAGTCCTCCTCCGCGCACATATTTTTCTTTCTTCCCTGGCAGCTCTCAGATACCTCTACAAGTATTGGGGAAAACACCTTTACCCCCACGTCCACCCCTGCAGTGGTGGCTGCCAGGCCCTGCACAGATGGCAGCCAGATGGCCCTGCTCCTCCAATGGCTGGGGAGGCGGCCAGCGAGAGAGCCCCTCACGGTCACAGGACTGCCCAGCTGCGATAGCCACCCCAGATAGCCACCCCCGCCTGTCTCCCCGCAGTTCACAAGTCTCAGGAGTTAAGGGTACCAGGGCATAAGAGTCTCAGGTTACCAGCAGCTCGTCTGGCCATCTCTCTCCCATCTCTAAACCAAGGGGTTAAACGCGCGCGCGCGCGCGCGCGCGCACACACACACACACACACACACACGCGCGCGCGCTCGCTGCAGTGAGGGTCAAGGACAGAGAGTAGGAAATAGTGGTGGAATCTGAAGTGTGTCTTGAAAAATTTAATTTCTAAGCTAAGTTTCCTTCCAAAATATTGGCACTTCTCCCAGGAATAGCAACATTAATGTTGATCATTTTTCCAGCCATCTGAAGTTGTCATAAAACAGAATGAAGAAAAATTAATAAAACATTACCCAAGAACCGTATGTCCCTCCCCAAACAAAATCCAGTCAGCCACAACTGCGTCTCACACGTGCACACCAAGCCCTCTTGAAAGCGTCAGGAGCGGCCTGAGCCCCGGCGGGGTCTAGGTCAGCACCCCGCACCCCGAGGTCAAGGGCGCGGGGTCAAGGGCACAAGCGGCAGGAGAAGGGCAGAGCCAGAGGCAGAGCCCCGCTCTGAAGCCACAGCTTTTGCAGGACTCAGCTTTTTCTCTTCAGGTGTTAAATGAGCCATTTGTTTTTAAAAGCAACAATGCACCCGGCAGCTGCTGAGCAATGTGTACTTACAAAGGAAATGCAGTGACAGTATTTGAAAGCTGCTCACCGTTAACCTTGAGTAAGTCCTCAGTGCCCTCCCCCTCAGTTTCCTTATCTGTAAATGGGGGCTTAAAAAAACCCACTTTGAGGGTTGAGGAGTCAGGAGACAAATAAGAGCTCAACAGAGACCCTAACACAAGAAGTCAGGAAGTCAGGCCAGTTGCTACTCACGGTCACTGAGGTGATGCAAATTTTTAAATAGGCAAAACAAAGCAGGCAAATGCAAATAAACGCATAGGTAGCAAAACTAACATCAGAAAGGTATAGTAAGCAACAAGTTACTGTAATTAGAAGATATACTTTTTTTCAAAGATTTATTTATTTATGCATACAAGAGCTGAGGTACAGGCCAGATTGGGGTGTGTGTGTGTGTGTGTGTGTGAGGATTCACCAGAGACAGAGCGGGGAGCAGAACAGGCAGATCTACTGAAATACACTGCTGAGGAGAGCAGCGGGCGAGGCAGGAGAGGTCTGCTGCGCCATGTGGGCATCTCCCTGGCCAGCCGGGGATCGAACCCGCGCTGCAGAGGCTGCGGACAGCTTCACAGCGCTGCGTTCATCCCGCTGAGCCAACGGGGAGGCCCTAGAAAGGTTTACTTTTAATGATGTGAAGTTATGACTCAATGCAAAATACACACATGAGAAGAGAGGGAAATGCAAATAAACACATTGAAATAAATAATGCAAACACTTTCGGTGAAAATGAGCAGGACCTTGGTGACGAGGGCCAAGCAGGGCACACTCTGCTCACAGAAAGCCAGCCAGACAAACATGTAAGAGACAAATTTAAATAAGGCTTAACAGTTGTATTTACGTCAAGATTTAAACTACAATGATTACTTCTTTTGTTAAGTTTCATGAACACAGGCTATCAAATAATAAAAACCAACAACCCACACAAAACCTGTATTTCAAAAGGCACATTATAATACAAGGCATGTTCACGTAAAACCAAAAAGCGTTTAAGACCTATAAAAGTTTAAACTGCATATTTCAAAATCCAATTCACTTCAATATTCAAAGTCCTGTCTATAAAACCTTATGACGACTCTGTATCTGTTAGGGGGAAAGGATGTCCTGAGTTAATCCCATACAGGCTTTGTGGACCCCACCCCCACTCCAGACTAAAGCCATCAAGACTCTGGGAAAGACAAATCCCATCACCACCAAGGGAGGGTGGCTGGGACCTGAGGGTGGAGTTGGGCAGCCAGGTTGGATATAAAAACCGAACACGTGGGCCTTGGGGTCTCTCTGGCTCGCGATCGCTCGCCTCCTGGCTTCACCGCTCCTGGCTGGCGGCAGCTCTGAGAGCGCCATTTTGGGATTCCTGATCGGCGGATCGGGTAGGACGCATTTAAAACTTTGTCTCCCACTTTCCTCCCAGAGCTGTCCATTTCCTCATTTCCCCTTCCCTTGTAAATAAACCTTTTATGAACCTTTCACGTGTGCCTGCAGTAGAGCATTGATAAGTCCTTTAAAGCATGCGGGTGAGGACCCACAGTCAGGCACCCTGTTTTGTATCGGGGTTGCTCTACAACATATCCACAGTCCTCCAGGCCGGGAAGTCAGGATCCCAGCACCTGCACCAGCCCCATTCCAGCTGCGCACACTGAGTGTCTGCTGGGCCAACAGCTCAGAAGCAGGAACAGGACGACTGCCACCACATATCAAACCTTGAGGTGTCGGGCCTCCCCTGGTGGCGCAGGTGGTTGAGCGCCGTGCTGTGAAGCTGCCCGCAGTCTCTGCAGCACCTGATTGATCCCAGCCTGCTGGCAAGGGTCCCACGTGGTGCCGCAGATCTCTCCTGTCTCGCCCGCTGCTCCCCTCAGCGGTGTCCTTCGGTCCTTCTGCCTGTTCTGCTCCCCACTCTGTCTCTGGTGAATCCTCTCACCCTCCCGTGCATCCGGCCTGTACCCTGGCTCTTGTGTAAATGAATAAACAAATCTTTAAAAAAAAAACAAAAAAAAAACCCGAGGTGTCTGGCCAAAGCTGTACTTAAACTTTGTTTGTGGCTTTAACTGCTAGTGTGGTAAGGAAGGGGAAAAAACATTCCGTTCACGATTAGAAACCAATTCAGGAGGGCCCGAGGGAAAACAGGTTAAGCGGGTGAGCAGCAGCCGCACAGCGGGAAAGATGGCTGGGGGAGTAAGAGCAAAGGACAAAGACCCCTTTGGTTCAGAAAATCTGGTTAAAAGGGAGTCACCAGGCACCGCAGACACCCCGGCCGTGAAGGTGTGCTGGAGGCGAAGAGTGCTCGGCCTCGGCGGCGGGCACGGCTCCTGCAGGACTCCCAGGCCCCTGGTGCCCGCACACCTCAGACGGCCAGACGCGCCCCCCGGGCCTGGCAGACGCTGCGAACACCCATCTCTCAAAACACCACAGCCAGCTTCTTTCAA